GCATTATTGATTAGTTATTTATATAAAACGGTTTACACAAAACAAACAATGCAAGGTGTATGGTTTTATTACAACTGTCCATTTTATATTTTATCATAACACAGTAGTCCCTATCCCGTCCATGTTAATTTCACCATTTTTAGGTACATTTAACTTCTTTAAAAAGTATCCTAGCAACCTGAAATTTTTATACATTGTCTTACACACCTTTCTCAGCGATAATAGGAACCACTTTTGTTCTAAAGCCAAAAATAATTTTTTTATGCATTTTTTTTTAAACATAAATATTTTATCACGTTTTTTTATTAAAAAATAATTAAAACTCGGGTTGTATCAATAATTTTGTAATTTCACTTCCTATTATTATTTGTTAATATACACAGAAGGTCTGTAAAAAATTTCATTAAAATCGGTTCATAAATGTGCCAAAAAAATGTACCGGACGAAGAAAAAAGTAAATTTTCGGTAAATCGCATATAAAGCCTTAGTCGCTGTCATGCGATCACTGAAACAGCTGTGCAAGATTTATAATAAATGACATAAAAGCGATCAAATAAATTTTATTATATAACATATTTGGTATCTATGGATTCAGGATTAAATTTAAAACTAGAATTAATTATACAATTTTTTTTTAATTTTTGACTACTGTGTTACCAAGCATATTCAGAAAGTTTTAAATAAAATGTTTTACATCATTTTTACAATTTTGAGGAATTAAAATTTAATGCTTACTGAAATATGGTTTTAACCCGGTCGAAAAGACCGTGTGGGTCTCCTAATGTTTCAATTCAGTGCAACCTATGCTGGGTTAAAAATCTCTTCCGCATACTTTCCCCGTTGCAAAGCAAGGGTACAGCAACTAATTCTAACCAATAGGTGGGTGGCAAGGTTTCATCAAATAATTCTGTACTAGAATACTTTTATCTGCGGTATCAAGGACTCCCAATGGCCAGCTAATTAGGCAGGGTCCATCATAAGGATGAATTCAGATGCCCTTTCAATTTTACTCCTTCTAAAGGCTTAAATGCAAACGTTGGAGTAGGGCAATGGTCAACCCTTAATTGGAGTGGTTCAATGAGGAGGGTTTGTTTTTGTGATATTCCACAGTAAGAAAGGCAGCTATACTCTTCAATCAGTTTGAGAAATTTCAAAGTCGGATATACAGTACTGTAATTCTAGTTAGCATCCTAAACTAGGTGTTGGGTCCTTTATTGACAATCAGAATTTGCATACCTTGTTATTGTTTTATTTTGTTGTTACTACTTTCAATTTATATTGAGATTATTGTTTTATGGTTATCTTGCTGCTTTGTTTAAGCTGATGTATAACTGATAAATCCTAATCATATCTTGTATTACTCAATGGTGAATAAACCTTCTTGAATATTTGTGACACATTTACCAGCTTTCTAGGAAGTTCTGACATCACTATATAATGCTGTTGCTGAGAAAATTGAATTTTTATTTCTCAACTAGCTGTACCCGCGGGCTTTGCCCCGTTTAACTTCATAAGTATTCGCATGGCTCATTCACGTCCTGGTTAAATGACACTTTTACTGATAGAATTCTGCCACCCAAAATAATATTGAACAGAAATTACTAAGCATGGTTTTAGTGCAGATTAGAATTTTTCTATCTAGTGCTCTTGTCCACTTTTTTTTATTTTTTTTTTATTGAATAATATCATTCCAATTACTGGACTCTGGACTTGTAAGTTATAGGGTATGAAGGAAGGTATAGCCATACACTTATCTTTATCAAAGACTTACCTTTTGAGTAGATAAACTACAAATCATATTTTTACGTAGAAAGAATTGACATTTGGCAGATTACAAAAATTTCCCAGATAAAGTTGTATTAACAAACCATTTTCTCTTGGTAATAAGCACCAATTTAAATGGAAATGAGTGGTGAATAATTTGTAAACTTACTTAAGCTTAAAAAAATAACTTCCTCATCAGAGACTTTAGCGGGGAAGACAATTGGATTTCCCAGAGCAATTTAAATATATTTGGGTTCTTGCTGATCAAATGATGTTAAACTCACATTTACAATTTTATTGAGTTTTAACTCTTGGAAAAACAAACGATAACGCCTGTAGCAACCGTATGTTCCAATTATTGGCAGTATGAGATGCAAAATTCTTGGCCAATATGTTTGAGTGCAGAAAAATAATGAAATACATTATTTCTAGATTACTTTTTTGTTGGCACTCCATAAATGCCTTATAGTTTTATAAAAGCTCATAAATTATTTATACTTTTCCACTACATTTGAAAAATATTTAAGTAGTTTTTATGAATCAGTTTTGACTTTATTTATTTGTTTAACTTATTGGACCAGTTGATCATTTATAAGATGTATTAATCCCGCTAACATACCAGAGCTGCAGCACATTCAAAAACGAGACGCACCTAGGAAAGAGGCACTTAGAAAAGATGTCCCTAAACATTACAGACCCGAACAGTTGTACAACCTCTTGCTGCATCAACTTAACTATAAGCAATTTTTACACAACACACTTAGAAACTGCAAAGCTTTTCTATGATTTCAATATTAACCTATTTTATTTTATTTAGAAGCTTTATTATGTACAAAAATTAAATTAAATTAAATTAAAATAATTGTACCAAATTATTGATTATGTTATTTCAAATTTCTTATTGGACAAGACATTTTTTATCTCTGCTCTGATTCAAATCCCTACTAAGAGACGCAAAACACTCAGATCTATCCATAAAATTTTTTAACTCATAAGCTCTTCAGGTTTACCACCTCCTAAACTCATGCTAAAAAACATTTTGATTAGAAATCTAAACGCTAAACAGGTTTTAACTCCCTAACTAATGGCGAAATATTATTGAATTTCACTTAAACAACTACACTATACAGCGAAATTGATTAACTCGGGGTCAAGCTGTCGCCATACCACATATTAACCTCCCCCTTCTGATCCTTTCAAACTGATACTTCCCATAAGATTTTTAGCCATGAGTAAATAAGGCACAGGGACTGATGGTAACAAAGGCAATATTGTAGTTGCCTGTCCCTGTTTTTTACACAGTAATTTGTATGTGGTGTTTTCCAGGATGCGCTCTTTCAGTGACATCTATGTCTAATCTATATGTTATCTACTGTATATAGAATTTATACGTCTATCGGTGTAAAACAAACCCTTTAACCAACAATCACAGATGACCATATAATCACTTCAAAAACACTGCGATTAAAGAGTAATTGGTTTTATATTACCTGTCATCAGTTCTAAATTGTTACATTTAAAGAGCTACATGTTTTGGTGAGCTACCATTTTCAAACACTACAGTTCGGGATTAAACAATATATCTGTTTGAATAGCTTACCTGTACTGAATGGCTAATGTCCGACTGGTAACAACAACATCACAATTTAATTTGGAACGTTCATTACCCTTCTTGAGCCTAACGTTTCGTATCAAAATCTAAATCTGTTGAAAAGATAGGAAGTTAAGGAAAGGCCAATTGACTGATTAGGATTATTATTATTATGTACAAGGATAAGGATCAGCTAGCTTACCTGGTAGACAGAGTCCAGATTAGCCTTGGTAACACACATAAAACATATAACAAAAACAGTAAAACTTAATATTTCGTCCTAGTTAGGGACTTCATCAGAAGGGAGAAGCAACTTTCTTTTCCCTCCTGGTGAAGTCCCTTACTAGGATGAAATATTAAGTTTTATTGTTTTGTGTTATGTGTGTTACCTAGGCTAATTGGACTCTTTACAGTGTCAATTTTCATTATCAATTTTGCAATGTACCTTTTACTTAGAATAGGCTATTTACATACATTATATGCTTGTGACTTTGTCAATCGCACACATGTGTTTAAAGACAATAAACATCTTTGACTTTGACTCTGTCTACCAGGTAAACTAGCTGATCCCTATCCTTGTACATAATAATCCTAATTCTGCTAAAAAGTCCTTAAGGGGATACGCCACTATCTCAAACTTTTTTTTTTATTTTTTATTTTTGTCAACCTAATTAGTATATTTTTTTTATACTCGACCTAATTAGAAGATTTAGGTCCAAAAATACGGTATAGAATCTATGACTTATTTACTAAATTTATATGAGTTTTTATTTTTTTTCACCCAAATTTTTAGAGATTTGGTATTGAGAATAATTTTTCAACTACTGAACTGAATGACATATTCTATTTATTTTCTGATTCAGGATGAAATAATGAGTAATTCTGTGTATAATCGTTATGGTAACTAAAAAAACAACATTTTTAGGGCACTTTTTATTCAAAATATGGAAAAAAGCTAAAAAAAATTAAAAAATGTAGCGTAAACATAAATATTTTTGGTAAATGTAATGCTATAGGGTTTACTATACACAGAATCCCTTATTGCTATATAAAGAAGGTCTGGTGAAAATTTTAATACTATAAGTATAGTACTAACGGAGTTATTCTAACTTTTGTACAATAATAACCTAAAAAACACGGTATTGAGATAATCGCAGGTGATGTAACAGGTGGTTGGCAGAACTAAAATTCCCATAACTACACTAATTTATTATGTTATATTATATATAAAAATAGCAAAGTACTTATTTTGTTTTAAATAAATGTATCCTACTTTATACCTTCATAATACATAATTATGATACAAAATTAAAAATGTAAATTTCAGGAAAAAATAATAAATATTCCAAAATTTTGTCAAATTGCCGGTTGCGGCGTTTTATATTATAGAAGGAGTTGTCGAAATGGCAAACAATTTTAGGTAAATGTTCACTATTAAATGTCCTATCTAAAAATGCAACTTTTGGAAAATGTAAAAAAAATCAAAAATATGGCCCAGAGATAGTGGCGTATCCCCTTAACATTTTATCTCAGTAACACTTTTAACTATTGATAGAATGTACTGATAGAATACGTAGCTAATAATAAAATTGTTCAAGCCTGGTCAACTCCCTGAAACCAAAAAGGGAATAAAGTGTGATAAGGTTTTGATTTAAAAACTCAAAATACAAATAAAAGATAATTTTATTTCTTTTTCTTCTTTTTGTGTTTGTGTTTCTTTTCCTTGTGTTTTTTATTTTTCTTGTGTGACTTTTTTTTGTGTTTCTTCTTTGATGAGGGTTTATCAGAATCATCACTGTCACTCTTATCATTCTTTTCCACCCAATCGTCCTCACTATCACTAGAGCTATCCAGGGTAACTACACTAACTCTATTTTGTACATCAACCGACCTGCTTGATATTAGTCCAGATTCATCATGATCACGCAGAGAAGGAGTTTCATTTGTTGTTTTACTCACTTCTAACCTCTGATTTCTCGGTAAGGCTGGCCCAAACACTTCACTTTCTTCTGAGTGGTTTACTAATTTATTTTTTGATTCGTTTAAAGTTCTTGATATGTCACGCTTATCTTTGTTATTTTCAGAAATTAAATCCAAATTAGCAAATATTCCTCTAGGAGGGGATGTATTTCTTACAATATCTAATTTAGGTACATCTTGTGGTTTTGGACTAGGGCAATCAGATTTTGGTTTGTTCAATTTCTCAAAGTCCAGGTTAGCAAAGATGCCTCGAGGGGGGGAAGTATTCCTCAGAATATTTTGTTCTGTTGCTGTCACGATTTTCTGTTGCTGAGAAGTTGAAGTTTTGGTTTCATTTTCATTATCACTTTCATCACTGCTGCTGAGAAAGATCGCTTTGTAAAGGTCCATTTTACTTGTTGAGTCTGCTAATTGTTCCTAAAAAAAACACACATAACACTCTTATTATTACAATCTACAAGACATAACTCAACCAAAGTACTACTGAGGTTGAGATATTTTTTATAGGAATTGTATTTTATAATACGAGTATTATCATTTTATTAGCATGGAGAATATACTTACTTACTTACTGCTGTGGCCACTGGTACCCTAGATGGTACTTGGCCTCCCCAACACACTGCCTCCATAGGTCTCTGCTTCTTGCATCTTCCTTCCTTCTCCCTAGCTTCCTCAGGTCTTTCTCCACTTGGTCGAACCATCTAAGTTTCGGTCTTCCAAGGGGTCTTCTACCTTCTGGGTTATTCCTCAAGATGTTCTTTGATAGGGAGTTGTCATCTTTTCTCAGAATATGCCCTGCCCATCTCAGTCTTCTGCTCCGTACCTCAGCGACAATATCTGGATCCTTAAATAATTCTCTTAGTTCCCAATTATGTCTCGATCTCCATTGTCCATCCTCAAAAATCGGTCCGTACACTTTCCTCAAAATCTTGTTCTCAAATACAATAGCTTTCCTTTCTGATTTCTTGCTTAAGATCCAATTTTCTGAACCATACAGGAGAACTGGTCTGATGATTGTCTTATAAATCCTGAGTTTGGTGGTGTGGGATATTATTTTTGAAGTTAGTATCTTGTGACAGGCCGAAAAACTTTTTTGTGCTAGGTTTAATCTATTTTGTATTTCTAGCTCTTCATCATTATCGCTAGTGAGGATGACTCCCAAATACTTGAAATTTGTTACTATCTTAAATTTATACTGTTCAATTTCAATGTAGTTGTTATTTTGGTATCTTGGTTGGTCATCATCTTGTTTTCTTCCACATGTCATAAACTTGGTTTTCTCTTCATTTATGTATAGCCCCATTTTTCTTGTATGTTCAATAAGCATTTTTGTTACATCTTTCATTTCTTCTATATTATGTGTAATTAATACTATGTCATCTGCAAAAGCTAGCAAGTTTATGGAGAATATAGTGGGATGAAATAGTTGGAGACATGTTGAGTTGAATAAGAAGTAACAATGTACAGTAGGCCTATTCATAAATAAACAGTAACCCACAAACTGATACATACTTTCTCCCATTAGCTTGACATTGCAATTGTGTGTAGCACTTGGTGTGAAGTGTACACACATAAGTACCGAAATATAATATTACTAGTGTCCCTGTTGCTCGGATTCGAGCAATTGCTAAGCTGTAATACTTATTATAAGCTATAAGCGCTATAAAAAAAATAACATAGTTGAAGTTTGATGACTTTAAGATTCGACTAAAGGATTATGGAAATACTCAAGATGTATATAACAGATCGATATAATCAACATTTCTTGTAAACATCTTATAATTTTTCTAAAACTGATCTTGTTTTTTAGTGTTTTCTACAAATAGGCTTACTCATAGCCGCATTAGGTTGTCCATAATAACGATTATAAATTCTAAAAACAAAACATCATTTCTATTTCTTCTCCTTGGTGGTGTTCTATGACTTTCCTATGTTTCCATAGTTTATAAATCGGCTCTTTCAATGATTACTATGAAATGCAGCACAGTGTTGATTCAGTTTTCTTTTTAGTATATCAATTAGGCTCTCTCGCTTTTTTCCATAGTAATATTTACGCCAACCAAAATTCAAATAGTAAATATTTCATTTCGACCAAGTCAGTAAATGTTAATATCATACTGTTAAATTAGCAAACTTATTGCCTGTTTACAATTACTGTAACATATGTTCTTCTTCTCACTTTTAATTTCTGACAACATCTGGACTTTCATAACAATGTTTGTTTCCCATGTTAATCATAAGGAGAAATGCAAAACGTTAAATGGCCCCAGGGCCTCACTCTCTAATTATTTACCTAAAAAAAAGAAAGTTTCCTGCACAACTTCACGTTACGCTCTTTCCAATGACACCAAAAACATGTCAATCGGTTCAGTAGTTTCGGAGGAGTAATTGTCACAAAAATCCTGCTTGCGTATTAAATAAGTATATAGATCTTCTTAAGAACCAACATTTTCCCACATCTACTTAAAAAAATTGGCAAAAATTTTACACAAACACCTTATTTATTTGCTTCTTGATAGTTTAAATCTTGGTGTAATAGTATTTTTTCACCAAACCAGCAAAATTTAACTTAACCACTTACCAAATCTTCATCCTTGGATCTGGTTGGTGTTTCTTTATCTTCTACTGGCTGAATAGCTTCTTGAGATGAACATGTTTGCTTTGAAGTGAAATCAGAGCTGAGGGTCTCCATAGGGGTTTTCAAAGTACAGCTTTTAGTAGAAGTTTCCATTAAAATTTCCGGTTGACTGTCATTTACATCTGAAGTTGTTTTGTTGAATGGTGCAGCATCCAGAAAGTTGAAAACTGAAAACTTAGGTCGAGATGTTTTTGTTTGAACGGAAGGACCACTACCCCTGTGAAACAAAATCAAGATTATTCTTTTTACTTATTTAACTAGGTATCTTAAACCATGATTGCACCACTTATTTACTTCCTATACAACCCCAGTCAAACAAAAAGTGATAAACAATTCTGAATCAGGTTCTAAACGTTGCAATCCCTTAATATTTGTCAGCATAGCCTTAAATATACAACTACAGTAAACTAAAATGTTGATTGGTGTAGAAATATAATATTTCGTCTCTAAATGTAGTTATTTCTATTCAAGTACGTGTAAGAATTACTTGTGAACGGGAACAGTTAGCTAAAAAATTGGTTCCAAGCTACCTCACAAACAGATTAATCAAGTGCAAGACCATACAATTTATGGTAGAGGTTACTATAAACCTGAATTCCATCTCGAATAAAATTTACCAGGCCAAGAACTAACCTTGGTGGGGGAATGTTGAACCTCTTGCACAGTGTGTTGTGGGGCGTCCATTCACTGACTCTCCGTGTAAGTTTGCCAAACATCTTCATCTTTGCTGCACTCTTCACATCCTGATCGAGGTCCGTAGATCTCGCCACAGGCACCAGGGGATCTGTAGCGTCGTCTGCAGCACTAGCTTGTACAAAGCGGTCACTGAACGCAGCACTGAGCGGCCGATACAACCTAGCTGCTTGCTCAAATTCCACTCTCTCCCTCTCTCTTTCCCACTCCGTCATTGAAAATGGCTGCAGTTCCTTCAATGTTTCTGGTTTGAAAAAAATATATAAATAAATTATTCTCTACCGTATTCCAACACTTCTATTTTTAAAAATGTGAGAAAAGTGAGTAGCCTAGTGATGGCTTGAAACTGGGTCCCAGCTGTCCTTAATCATTGTGCTTCTAATGAATGATTTAAAACTTAATAACCAGATGACCTCAGTCGGTAACAAAGATACACAGATAATCTGACTCCATAATATTTTCAATCAGCATTCATGTTTGTTGTTGCTGTGTCTAAGAATTGATTTAAATATTTTGAACTTAAGACTTTTATGAAATGACTAGTTATAATTTGAGCTTCAATACATCCTCCATAGATTAAAAATGTAATATTTAATTAGAGAACAAAGTATTTTTGTTAGGGTTCCAGTTATTTTGGCTTATTGTATAATTTCAAATGGCATTACTTTAAAATACCGAATTGACATATGGTTGAATAATGCTTGGTAACTGTTTGTATCAGACTTGCACACTGTCAATATACTGGAAGTAGTAACTAGTAACAATAAAAATATCAACACAAACAGAAAAACAGAAAAAACAGTGCTCTAGTTCTACTGAAAGACATGGCTGTATTTTTGTTTAGACCCTTTAATATTGGTATTTACTCAGGGGAGGTATAGAAGAGGCTACGATGACAGCTGTGGGCTTCTTATTAGCTGAGGGAACGCCATTACCGTAACAAAACGGACAATAGACATCGGCCTCGGTGGTCTAATGGTTAGCATGCTGGGCTGATATACTGTAGGTCCCGGGTTCAAATCCCGCTGGTAGCGTTAACTTTTTGTCCAAGATTTTTTTATTATCAGCAAGTTTGGTTGGTTTGGTTCGGTTATTACAGTTTAATTTTATTATTAAGTCATTATAAAATTTTAATTGAGCAATTTCTAGTTTTATTTACAGAATTATTTTTCCGATTACTAAACTTTTGTTATATTATTTCTTTATCAGCAAGTTTGGTTAGTTCGGTTAGGTTATGATAGTTTAATTTTATAATTAAAAAATAATAAAATTGAATTTGAGGCATTTATAATTTTATTTTATGAACAGAACTATTTTTGCGATTAGTAAACCTTCATTGCCAAAGTGCTCTCTACTACAGCGCTGTTCGCGGAGGAATATTGAACTAAATGCCTCATTCGTACCTCCCCTAAGTCAGACCCTTTAATATTTTGTTGATTCATAGACAAAATCTTAGAACATTTTACACTGTCTAGACAATTTCTATTTTAGTCATCAGAACTGACGTCATAGTTTAATAATAAATATCATCGTCTAATATGTAGATCAATATAAGCTTGTGCAAGGTAGGACTCATCTATCTATATACAGTAGCCTAATTTAAGAAATAATTTTTTTTATATAAAATCAAATTTTTCCTGTCTACCTACTCTACAGATTTATAATAGTAAAATTTACAATTTGCCCATGGCCCCCTTGTGTACTTATATTTGTATGGTGTCAATAGCTAACCTTCTCGTCCCTGTTTTGAAAGAGTCAGAAATTTCTCGTATCGTTCCTGTTTTTCAGGATCAGCCACAAATGGGCGGAATGAAGTTGTAGTCCTTTCTATTTCTGGTGCTGCCTTGGGCTGTGGAATAATTATAATTTTCAATAAAGATCACTGTGTACATGGTTTTGTTTATGGCAAGAAAAATGTTGTCATAATTGTTATTTGTAATGCTAATTTGTATTAGATGATTGGAATCTATATTGATTCACAAATATAATGGTAAAAACATATCGAAAAGACTACGCACAGCAAGATTTGCTCTAAAGATAATTCGGGATACTAAAAATTTATGAATTCAAATAGCAGTATAAAACGCCTAATTTTAATTTTAATCGATTATGATTTTTTTGTCCTAGGACATTACTTTACTCCTGGGGCACTAGCCCAGGATAGTTTTTCATATTACTTAGGTTAGACCTTGAAACTACATTAGACTTGCACCACTTCTCTAAAGGGCTGGGAGAGGGGTCGCAGGACAATTATTCAAAGTTGTTTTTAGGGAATTCCTTGCTCGGTTTGTTTTTTTATTGTCTTTTTCTAAGTAGAAACTTTGAATCATCAAAAATATCATTTGAATTCACAACGATTATTAAGCGTTTTCCATGACTGTTTATCACATTACTTCAGGCTAGACCTATTGGTATGCTGCATTATCACTCACAGATAAACTCCACTGCTGATTTGGTGGGATTTTAATCCTGGACCGAAAGTTCTGTGCTAAACCACCAGCACAGACCAGCTCGCTCCACAGAGCAAGATTAATCGATTATGAATCATGGAATTGTAAGGGGCTCATCAAGACAGGCCAAACAAATGTTATCCTTCAATAAAGACCTGTTAATTAATATAACACATAATATAAAGAGTCCTTCATAACACGTTGTGAAAATGTATTTATTCAGTTTAAAGTTTTAACATTGTATTGCTTTTATATTTCCAAACTGGCATTAAGGGTTACCAGTGATTTTGACAAATTTATCCAGGGCAATCAACAATGTCATCCCGATAACACTAAATTATAGCTAATCCAAAATATTATAAAACTAGTCAAACATCTAGACTTAAAAACTTTCACTAGATACACACACAGTAAATGGGGCAAAAAAGTTTAAAATAAATACCGGCGGAGACTAAGAACATGACCTCCTTTCTTTTCTAAACTCAAATTATTTCTGAAAATTTTACTTTTGGGGAGGGTATTTGTTTTTAACACAAATTTAATGAAAATATTTTTAAAAATTTACACACCAGTATTTTAGTGGATGACAATTCAGGTTCATTGACTATCACAGCCCTTTCAGCAGCAGTTAGTCTCTTATCAGTGACCTTGAGTATATCAGTGACCTTGGGAGCACTGAACCTGCTTTGTTTGACCTCATGTTGAGGGGTGAAACCAGCAGGAAGAGGTGGAGGAGGATAAGTCTTCCTAACTAAGGTTTTTGACGACAGCTCAAAACCTGAAAAGTCAATTAAGTGATAAACTTTTAAAATTTCTGTTTGAAAGTATGAAATCGGATCATATGGATTAATCTAGGAAATGTACTTCATGCATTTACCAAAACATGATAATCAAGATACTCTTTAAGAAGTACTGTACTATCCAATCAAACACTACAGTAAAATTACTACTACAGTATATTAATGAATTACTGTGGATACTTTTGGATGTGTGGTACTTTTGTTTACAGTACAATGTAAACAGTACATCCTACTGTATTAGATTTTAACAATTAATTACCAGTACTGTACATGTTTAATTGTTTAATTTATTCACATTCAAGTAATATTTAACGGTCACATCTACAGAACAAAATTCCATACCTTCTAAAACATCTGCGGAAGTCTGAGTTTTAGACATTTGCTTTTTGTTGCGTTCCTGCTGACGTTTCTCAGCCAACATTTGTGGTGTGTCGAGAGCAAAGTCATACTGACTCATATCATCTGCAGCATAAATGTCTTGGTCTTCTCTTTCAAAAGCGCCAACTCCAAAGGCCTGATTGAAAAATGGTATCAAAGTAAACATAGCCTACATGATGTATGTGGTGCTACTTTGTTGGCTGATGTTTTTCTTAAAAATAAATTTTTAAATCAACATAAAATGAGGAAAACACAGAGCCAAAACCAGACCTGGAAAGGTTCATCCTAGCCAAAACAACAGTGGTGAAGAATTATGAACTTGGACTTATTGAAGCCAAGTTTTGGTATCTGATACATTATTGCAGACATTTCCATCCCAATAAAAGTTTCAACTTTGAGGGGACAAAGAATGACAACTAAAAACTCTTTCCAAAAAGCTGGAGTTTGTAATTTAATCCACTGCTGTTTTGCCTGGGATGAACCGTTTTTCAGATTTGCAGCAATGTGCTCTTCTAATTTAATTTAAGGTAGCCTACTACTCAACCTATGCTCTTATTAAAGATTTTCTTCCTGACTCCTTGTGGATTGTCCCCAGGACAAGAGAATTGATATTTTTTCAAAATAGATTTTTAGTTACAGTAGGCCTACTTGTCAGTAAAGCTTTGTTGCACCATCTGCAATTAAAAAAAATCTGTTCCCAGACTTGGACCCATAGACCTATTAGGTTTAAACCCCTTTCTATTGAAATAATTTATCACTAAAACACTAAATTTAAAAATAAGATCAAACTTCAAAGCAGCTTAAATTTGATAGGTATAAACAAACTTCTTAACCTTACCTGACCTCGAATATTGACTTTTTTCTTTTTTTCACTCATAATCAGAGAAGACGTAGCCGGACCAAATAAATCTATGTGGGAAGATAGAACAGGCCTTCTGTCAAGGCCTGAATAACCGAGGCCAAAACAGTCATCCTTAGGCTTGACAGTCCATGCATCAAAATCATCCGGAGCAAATGTCACATCAGGGTCAATATCATCATCCTCCTCGGACTCGTCTGATGTTCCTCTCAGTGTTGATTCCTGGTTTGGCAGAGCACAGCCATAAACTTTTACTTCATTTCGAGACTTTCTTGAAACTATTTTTTCAGACTTGGAAAGCCTCGGACCAACACCTTGTCCTGGTTTCCAGCCCATCTTTTTCAGCAAACGAATTCCAATTGTTTCCCTGAGGGAAAAGGAAAATTAAGTACAGAATTATTATGAGATACGTATATAGGCTAGATATGTTTTGATTTTCACTGGGTGAGAATATTTTCTCCATGCAAAAAAGGATTTGTTTTTAAAAATCCTTCCACGGTGCCATTGTAAACATGGCCTGAGATCGTGGGCCATAACTTGTCTCGCAGTCACGTCGCCATCGTGAACATCTCCCCCCCCCCCCCCACAGTGAGGGCTTGGACATTATGTTAAAACAATAAAATCAATTTCTAAAAAAAAAAAACAAGACAAAATTAGTAAAAAAATCTAAATTGCATTCAAGACTTAACCTATTGTGAAGCAAATGTATTCAAGTAGGCTACCTGACAGGTTCAATGAGGGTGCTGAGGACCGGAGTGCCAGGAATAGGACCGTCCGAGACCTGTGGAAAATGACGTTTCCTACTTGGACCTTGATCCTCGCTGTAGTCTCCCTTTGGACGCAACACTTTTGGGGCAATACCAAACTCATCCATGTCCTGCAAAAAAATACACACTACAATAAACTACAAAATGGAACACTCAACACTGAGTACCCTTGATAAAAAAATAATTCGGCCTACCCTAGTTTTGTTGTACTGTGTGGATATGATAATCTTAAGCTACATTAAACTTGAGTGAAAAAAAGGATTTTTTAGCGCATTGAGTTTACAAAACATATACCGTACGTTAGTTGTTATACTTACATTTTTTAAGCACTTACGTTTAGGGTTCTAAGAGCTGATAAAACATTAATTTAGATAAGTTTTTGAATCATCAGACGTTTGAACTAAATATGCAGGGAACACTTCATGCATCTTCAAAACAAGGACCTCTAATTAATGATGGCCTAGATGTTAAGTACGCCTATAGATGCTCGAAACCAAAATTTTAGGTTTAACATTAGGCCCAGCGCACACAGTGTGACTGTTTTACAACAACTGTTGCAAACCAGTTGCGTCTGGAACCAGGTTTGCAACTGAAACAAAACTTTTGTCCGCACACGGTGTGACTGCTTTACAACTACAGTTGCGTCTATTGTGCAATCAGTGGAGTGCAAATTTAGTGCAGTTAAGTTGTTTTAAGGCCTTAAGTGTGCTTACTACGTCGGACTCAGACGAAGAAGACGTTATTAGCTATTATCAATACCGAAGACAGCGAAGGGTACTGAGAGAGCATTGGGTTCAACCTTATTTGAGCAAGGATGTTAGTACTAGGCTGTTTGTAGCAGCTAGAGCTATTCGGATAGGAAATTGTAAACACTAAAACACTATTCGGCCGTAAAAATTCCACCAAAATACCACCAAACACCACAAAAACACCCGTGGTCTCGTGCAACTGAAGTCTGCAACGCAACTACAACGTCGGGCCCACGGTTGTATGTGACTGGTTTCAAACTTTTTTTGAAATCGCATACAACCAGTTGCGTCGTGTGCACGTCCCCACTGCAATACATTGCCGAGGTCTCAAAACAGTGGTTTGCAACGAAAGTTGCAAAACAGTCACACCGTGAGCGCTGGGCCTTAGCCTACAATGAAATTTGTGAGCAGAATAGTCTACCGCAAATAAAAAAAAAAACTGTACTGACCTCATCATCCATAAAATCTTCAGGTTTTTGAAACTGTGCCTTTGATTTTGATGAACGTGATGACTTGAACTGAGATGGTTTCCAACCTTCCAAAGAACCAACAGTGTTAAAAAATCCGGCTGAGAACCCTCCGGTGAAGGCCCCATGAAATCTTCGTCGTCCATGTTTGTCTTTGGCAACCTGATCTTCTACTGTCACTGGTCTTTTCTTTGGGATAGTATCTGTAACAAAACTTGTATAGGTAAATATTATTTAGGCTACATTTATAGTATAACTTACTTGGCCTACTTAGAGGATATTGCAGTGTCATACACTACCACTGGGATAGCTTACCAGTAACTTATCATTAGCAGACAGCTCTCACACTAACTTAATATGATGATACTACACTTTACGTACACACAGACACTGATTTTATCTCAACCAATATTTTGACAATCTTATCTTAAGATGTTCAAGAATGGGATGCCAGATTACATTCTATTAAACATTCATGAACAAATAGCCTAAACCCAATTATGAGTTATTAGGCATATATTTTTATATTGTAAGCTCTGGTGGGAGGAACAACAGGGTTGAAAATAATGAGTAAAAATTGTCGTTGAGCTTTAGTTATAGTTCATATTGTGCTTTGGTCTTTTACGCTCTGTTTGACTTAGGATCATCAGACGAAAAGGATTTAGAGGTTACTCGACTTTGACAACACAATTTAACCTTTCAGAGGGCGCATAGGTTTCTGAAACGGGAGAGGGCACACCTGGAGGTTACTTCCAGGTAAATAAAAACAAAACACAAACATTTATCAAGTAATATTTGTATTTTAGTGCACAAACTAGTACCGGTAGGTTTTATTTTTTATTTTAAACATCAAAAATGTGTTTAGTGAACTCCTAATTATAAAATACATCATGAGGTTAATTTAAATTGTACCACAATGTACTATAGGCCTAATGTGATTCTAGATTATGAAACTCTCAATCGGTTTACTAAATGGTCCTGTACGTACATATGATTTTCGTGAATCTCCCTTTCAACACTGACTAAGAGTGTTACAATTCAAACTTTATCTTCTCCACTCATCTTGTTAAAACTATATATTTACTAGGCTGTATAATGTCATGAATCGAATAAAGATAATTATTTAGGTACAGTAATCATTTACACTCTATAATCAACACACACAGAAGCTGCCTCCAGGCCGTCACAAGAATCGACAAAGCGCCAGTGGCGGTCCCAGGGGGGGGAGGTATATATCCTCCACAGAAATATTTTATAAGCTAGCATACATAACTTACTACTAGCTTGAGCATATATTAGAGCCCAAAACGTATAAAAATATGTTTTTAGGCTTAAAATTCAAATTAATGAAGTAGCCTAGTACCTAGTTAATTTAAGATATTCCATACCCCCCAGACCCCCGGTGGTCATTCTCCCCCCGAATGAAATCCTGGGACCGCCACTGCAAAGCTTAGTATTTTTTAGTATTTTTATGCAACACTAATAATAAAACTGTAAAATAACACCTTAGGCCTACCGAAGGAGAAGAAGACAAATTCCTGTAGACTGTAGTGATGTTTGATGTAGGCCCTAGACGGTACCATGTATTTCAGAAAATAGTACATGAGTGAAAATTTAAAAACGTACGTTTTCATGTCCCTGGCCTTTTACTTCGTAGATACTGGATTTGTAGTTTATTATTATGTGTTTTTATATTTTTTGGGACGGGGGCAACATGTTACACACATTTATTTAGTTTTAAAAAGGTAGGTTCTAGGTATTTTTTTCGTATTTTTAAAGTCTCGAAATTCACGACCATGACGTGTCCCTAGGGTACATTTTCCAACTTTCACGCTGTTTTTAGACTAATTATTCATGCCGAAATATATAAAGCCATATTTTTATGTCATCAATGGTTATTAAACTTACAAAAAAGGAGCATATTATAATTTTATTGTCATTGCAAACTGACTACCATGACAAAATAAGTCTGTCCCTCGATTTGGCGTCACGACCATTGGGAAAAATTTTCAACTTTGGAGCACGACAGTGGCAAGCCTGGCGTCGATGGAGTCAGTTGGTTTTAGAGACTAGTTCTGGGTGTACGTCAGGATTGTAGTGCCGGTCGTTTCGAGTTGAAAGGAGGAATTACAAGATTAATAAAGGAAAGATTGTGTTTTTTGTAATTTTGGTGTGTCCATGACCGTACGTAGTCATTCGATGAAGTAGACATGGTGTTAATTTTTGTTCATAAGATATTTCAATTGCTAGAATAACCTAGAAGTCCACTTTGTATCCTCGAACATGAGGTGCAGGGCTACCGCCAGAACAGAGCCAAATAACACGTAATTTCACGACCAAAGTTTCACGACCATCGCGGGTTTTTTCACGACCAATCCAGCCTTATGGATTATAGTGTGTTTGGTCGTGACAATAACTTTAATATAATTGTAAATTGAACAGTTTAGTTCAATTGAAACACATATTTTTATTATAACTAACAGTATAATTAGAGGATTGTTTAGAAAGATTTAGATTATTTCAGACAATTCACGACCGTACCGCTTGTCCCTGACCATCACGTTTATGATTCCTATCATAAAAATTTCAAAAATTAAAATATCGTCATATTTCAATGTTTTATACACAAAAGAAGCACACCTATATACAAACATAACGATTTTTCGGGTCTCAGGTAAGTTTTTCCGGAGTTATACAAACTTAAAACGATTTTATTGGCTTTTTTCAATTTTTTGAGTTTTTTTATTTTTTTCTAGAAAGACCAAATATACCAAAAGCTCAGTGACCTTTTTATTGTATAATGGTCATAAAAGTAAATTAGTTTATAGCAAAACATAGTTATAAAAATAATATTAACTATTTTTAATATTCATTTAAACGTCCGTTATGGTCGTGACAGGATTTTGTGTTTTTCCACTAAAGATGCTCTTTAAAAAAAAAAACTACCAAAGATATTGCGTTACCATGGACATTTTATGAAACTTCAAATGTTAATGAAATAAAAAACTAATAAAAGTTTTGAAAAAAGGGGAAAAAATTTTGCAAAGTGCTTTTCCTGAAAACGTACGTTTTTAAATTTTCACTCACATATACTTATTTACAGTTTGTTTTTCAATCTTCTTCACACTCCTCTATGATGGAGAGTGGTTTCCTGCAGAAGGAACATGACAGATCCTAGCCCAGCCCCAGAATACGCCAAATAAAAGTCCAGTAAGTAACTTAGGTCCATCAGTTTTGCATTGTTACTTAGTTGTAGTATTTAGTCATGAGTACCTCACTATATTGTAATTCTTATTGTAAATTGGTGAAATCCGTTGGCAATAAATAAATAAATAAAAAGCGCACACGGAAGCTACTTCCAGCCTCATACAAAACTGAACAGAACTTAACAAATATAAATAAGTTAAGTTAGTAGGGGTGAGTTTTGACCTTCACCTGATTCTAGGAATGAGGTACAGTAAGGTACAGTGACACTCACACTGCCGACATGACATGGTTGCTTTTAAATTATGCACGGTCATTTTTTGCAAGAAGGAAGCAGCTGAGACTAGGGATGAAAGGATGTTGGGACTAGGCCTAGGCCTAAATTTCAATGACAATAAAAATAAATGATGATTTGACCCAACAATTAACTTAGGTATTTTTCTTTTTTTTAGTTGAACGTAGAACACAAAAATATAAAATGGGTTGTCAGTCAAAAAAGAGTGTAGACCTAACTTAAAGAGATTCTAAATCCTAAATAAGCCTAGGTAGGGTATTTAAAACGTAACTGTGCATATTGTTACAGTCAGTACTTATTTTTATAATTGCTAGAATAATGAATTATTAATTAATCCTTGCCTTCGTCAAGTTCTTCTAGTGGTGTCCCATAAGAAACATAGTCTTCCTCTTCACTTTCAGATGACATTTCACAATTAAATCAGAAGAACCTAAATCAATTTGTTTTACAATAGGCTATTAAACCATTCGTTTAGTCTGATTTAGTTTAGGTAAATAGTTTTACAAACAAACAACTTGTCTAAAGTCACTGTTTACATTACTTTGCTTTTGGTATAGGCCTAGTAGTAAGTGCTATTATTATTATTGTCTACAAAAAAGTTGAGGTTATGTTTATCTGTTTAACATTTTTTCTCCTCCTTATCTGTTATACTTAGGGAGGGAATTGGCGTTTTTTGTACCATGCAGCTCCAGAGTAAATTTTTCCAATTACACACCATTTTAGCTAAATAGCTAATTTTAGCTGAAATAATATAAAAATATGTTTTTTAATTCCATTGTTAGATGGATATGATATAGAACTTTTTTTAAATGGCTATCAAGTGGGTTTATACATCGGGACTACATTGTACTCTTGCTACCAACTTGTAAATATGTATATAAATCTAGTTTTTTTTTCTCGGTCTACCCAGCAAGAGCCACGAGCTGGTCAAAGACGTCGAGGGAGTAAGTAATAAGTAATATAAGTAATTTCTTCACAAAATTTAGGTGGTTTTAGGGGAAGAAATCTATCCCCTCCAATTAATCCTACCTTTAAAACAATAGCTCAACAACAGCTAAGGTTTAGCAACACGTCAATCAGCTGCAACATACGTTAGGTAAGCATAATGGTAGTGGGGTGACCCTCATCAAACTGCCTAAATTTTGAGTATTTCACTTCTCAAGGATAACAGATGTTTCCTTTTAGAAGTTGTTCTTTCTCGACATTCGACATAGCTACCTTCCGCATTTACAATAAATTAAAAACTAGATTTTGCCATGAAAAAGACAGTTGATAAGGATTATGGGGTATGCACAACCACGTTATAACCCAGACAACATGAGGCTATTTTTATCCTATAAGCAAAAGACTGAGACAGGCGAACATCGTGCAGTTTCAAAAATATATTACTTAAGAATTAGAGATGTCCTAACATTGACTATGAAGTACCCTATGTAGTTATTGGGAATTCAATAACATAATAAAAATATACTGTTCATATTATCATAGTTTCTTTCATAATGTTTATTAGATATTTACTATATTCAGTTTTATTTCATTTTATTAGTTCAAAATAAATGGAACAAAATATAATAAACTATTTGTAAGTTATTGATTTTTCCTCTGGCAATATGGACTTTTGTCAAAAATGAAGTGTTTTATGCTGTTATTCAAAAATTAAACTAATAGGAAATGAAAACAAATTCCTACTCCTTATAATCAATCAAAGGTAGTGGCCCAACTACTCCAGTCTCTTTTTCGCACTCAACAATTTGAAAAAAAGAGCCTGGAAGAATCAGATTTAGCTGGCACAATAGCTATGTTAGTCCCTTTTTCCCTCAAAGCTTCTGCTAACAAACTTATACCCTTCACCCGGGGGAGCAATGCCATCCTGACATCCTTATCTAGCTGTACAAAGATGTAAGAAACAGAAGATACATTGAATGGTACACTTAAGTGGTGTCTAGCACCAATTTTTTTCCTCATCCCCTTCCACTCTCCTTTCCCCACTGAACACACTTTCACAGCACTCACTCTTACTTTAATCTGAAATGGGACCATACTAATGTCTAGGTATTTTCAGCCAAGCATGAATGGAGATGAGTGGCACGATCTTGTAGTGACTAAGGCCGACATTTTTCCTTGGTAGGATGACCCTGCGCTACAACTGCTGTAAAAATATGCTATGTAGCAATCACTGTTCTGACTCATACCTTTTTCGATACTAGTAAATTTCTGCCTTAACATACCAGAGCTAAAAGCAAAGGGTTTTCCTGTAAGCATGTATCCTCTGTATCTACCTGTGAGCATTATTCAGGCGAAAATCACATGTCTGATTTCTTTTACTGCTTTACTACTCTGACAACCTGGCCGGCTTATTGTTGGATTTGAGCTCCCTGCACTCTCCATCAGGGCTTTCCTCCTGAGCTCTGTAATTTTGTATGTCTTACCAATACACTTTATGAGGCATAGACATTTAGAGGTAACAAGCATGCTAGGTAAGTTGCAGGGTGAAGGCCAGGAAGTTCTTGACCTGATCCCTAGAGATTTGCTCCTGAATGAATGAATGAATGAATCCTTTTTATTTCATTACAGTACATCATTTACAATGGTACAAACAACAATTACTGAAATGTAATCCCCAAATGGGCTAATGCCTGTGGTTGGGGATTGAGTCCATCATCCGCACAATAAAACAATAAATTTAGGCTAAAAAAAAGGGAAAATAATATATATTGTACACAGAATTTTGTTTACTGTAGAATTTTTGTACACTGAAGAATAGCAGACCTAGTGCTTAAAGAAATTAGAACTACCATGAAAACTCTGTCTACTTTTTTTCCTAAAAATGTCACAAAGTAGCTGAAATGGATGATGTCATCACTGAGTATTGTAACCATCGATCTCTAGAGATTTATGATGGTAACATATCCGATGTCGCTTTCGCTCACTGCATCTCAGCTTATTTCCAAACTCCTAAACACATGAGTGAAGGATTGGCTGAAGTTTTTGCAAAGAGATTTGAGATTTGGTAAATCCACGTTAACTGACTACTGCGATAAGAATTTAACACGTCAGAATTCTTCCAATGGTGTTGCTGACTGCTGTGTATGGACTGGTCACTAAACCAAAATATTTCTTAAATGCCAACAACCTTCTAAACTACATAGAAACACCTAACTCTATTTTTAAACAATATTGGCTGCTGATTTTAAAACAAACAAATTTAAGACATTGATCTGCTTGCCGCTATGCTGTGTACGTGATTGCATCAGTCCATCTCACTTTATAGTAGTGATGTGTCAAAACCGAATCTCAAATCTCAAAACCATCAAAACTTAGGAAAAGTTTCTGTTTCGAGATTCGATCACCAAGTTTCGAGATTCAAAAGTTTCGAAATTGAAGATTTTGGCAGTTTTATTTTTGAAACTGCTGACATTTTTTTTGTGCCATTGTTATTGTTTTTAACACTGTTTCCAAAGAAGCTGGTAGCAACAGAGCAGACATCACCATTAACAGTAATGAAACAAGTAAATTTTATCCTGAACTTCAAAAGGTATCTTAAATACTATAACTGGTACAATTCAGTTTCACTTTCACATCAACTTTACTAAACACAAAGAAATATATTGACCACTAAATGTTCTAATTAATCTAATATTCATGTTTATGTTGGTGTTAGAAGTTTAATTAATTTTTTTTGTTGGTTGTTTATGAAAAATTATGTTGTATTGGGTTTTAAGATTATCAGTCACATTCACATAATTATGTTAATGTTATGTCACGGTCAGGAGTCGATCTCCTTCAGTTTTGATTGCATACTTAACATTTTATGATTATGTGTATTTTTTGTTACCTTGACCTTTGTAACCAGCTAAGTAAAAAAGTTTCGCGTTTAGGTTTTGAGATTCGAGATTCGGGATTCGATTTTTAAAGTTTCGGTTTCGGTTTTGAGATTCGAAATTTCTGGTTTTGACCATCACTACTTTATAGATAACTTATTTGATTTAATCCACCATTAGATTGGCCTTGGGACTTTGAGCTGTTCGAAAAATCTTTCCTTGTCCAGTTTGCTCACATTCTGGCCAACTGAGTTTAAGGTACTGAATATGAGAGATAAGAATATGATCAACAGAATTTCTGGATGTACCAGCACACATACTGTTAGTATATATAATGATTTGTAAGTATAATGGTTTGAGATCTTATATGCTACACTGTCAATTGTGTTGTTTGGCAGTATGTGGATTTATCTTCCTGGAGAGAGTAAGACATTTTTCAGGTCCAGCTAAACTGTAACCTACCTCCTTCAAAATTACTCAAGAAATGTAAAGGCAACCAAACAACATAAATATTTGTAAAATTCTTTAATAATTTATGTTATGTAAAGTTCAGAAATAATACATGATAAATGCTAAGTACAATACAATATATAAAAACACACATACACACTGGGTCAACAGACAACATAACCTAACAAAATTGTTACAACTTATATTAATAATATACAAAATTTTAAATAATTAACTTGTTAATGCTATAATAATACAAATTGACAATATTTTGATTACAAAAAAGGTTAGGCCTACATAATCCCTGCTGAAAAATACACATTTATGTAGAGCTTTTGTAAAAGCTGTACGGCATACATCCATGTAAAAATACAATAGATTGGCGATTGAGCCTTTGATATATCAAAACAAAACATTTTAACACAACAAACAATAACTGCCAATTCAACGTTTAAAATCATCCATTATACAAAATCACATTCCTTTGAGAAATTTTAGGGACAAGCTATTTTATTTGAAAGGGTATTGAAGGCTGAAAAAGATAATTGGAAATAAAACCACTCTAATTATAAAATGTCGAAAAATACCCCCACCACAGCAAACCTGGCAAATTTATGTTTGCTGATTGGATTTCTATTAAAATACTTACTTAAAAATATCAAATTTTTGCACTATTTAAATAACATGAGGTTTAATGGGTACTTACTTGGGTTTGCTGCTACAGGGATATAAAAGTAATTTTAGTGAAATGTTAATATACTACTATAAAATCAATAAATTTGCCAAATTTAAATATAAACTAGGAAACTACAACAATTTACTTATTCTACACAAAAATAACACGAGGATTTTAAATTTAGTTTTTTTTAACACTTTCTCAGTAACCATTAAGCCTACAACAATGCTTCAATACACTCAATTATTTGTTTTTGTAAGGTCTACGCAATTGTTTGGAAATAAATTGCCGAAGTTTATGTTTTAAGGGGCAAAAATGGAAAAACTACTATTTTACCCTATAAATCTCGTTCTCATAGTCTGATCATGCTAGTTCATGAACTCGATCAAATATTCCTATGTTTAGACGCTTGTATCAAATATTTTTAATAGGTAAATAATTTATATCGGATAATTTTTACTCGAGTTATCGTGCAAAGAGACACACTCATACCAATATATGATTTGAACTAATGGTGTTTTTTATTTCAGGGTGCATACAGCAAAAAAAAAACCCTGGTCCTGGGTCCAGGTCTTACCATGAGACCTTCGGCAATAGTTTATTCCCTATATGGGAAATTCGATAAGAACAACTTATCTTCCAGCAGGCTTCAATACCTATACACATATTGACACGCAAAACTAAAAGATATAACAACATAATTGTTTGAAAATATTTTAACAACATTGCTACCTCACAAGTAATAACACCAGATTAATCCATCAAACGGATTTTTAAAATTCAAAAGAAATAAGAGTAAGGGTTTCATGATTATTTGACAAGACAATGCATGAATGGTTATATCGATCCTTTTAAGACTGTGAGCAACACCCATGACTAAAGTGAAAGCAAATCTTCAAATGAGTATGATTTTTAGTATCCACATATCCACAATACAGACATTAATAATTTATCACAATATTGTAATATTTATATAAAAATTAGATACTACCAACAACTATTCCTGTAAATCTACAAATAGTGATGGATGCCATGAGATTGTATACTATAAAACCTACTAAATCGCAATAATATTAAACTTTATGCTAATAATATCGTATACAATTGAGCAGCAACAAATTTCACAAAATAAGCAAAACAATAAGATACGGTACACATCACAAAACATTCATTGTAAGAGTAAATCTCAAAACTATCACTATATGCTTAAATATTTGAAAAAAATTCAAACTGCTTAAATGTGCATATTTCAGCAAGGACTTAACACAGGAAAACTTAATACTATGAAAATATCACAATGCAGTCAAGCTTATGTACAATTGAAACATGTATTCTGTTGATCAATGTGAGGGGAGTGGGGTTGGTCCCAACTAAATGGAATCAAATATTGCCGGCTTGAGCAAAACGGAATGTTTAAAACTACCTTCAAAATAATGTCATGGTTCAAAATTTGGGAAGAGCAAAAATAGGAAGAGGGTATTGAGTTGTAATTCAATAGTGAAGGTAGTTCTCGAGAGTCTAAGAATATACTTTAGTTAGGGTAAACAAATACTATACTATATCAAATCAACCAGTACAATTTCATATATTTTAAAACTACTTTAAAACAAATTATTTGTACGGCATTCAATAAAATGATAAAATCGGTCTATTTGAGTTCAAACCTGAACAGAAGATTTTGATGGGGGAAGTTTAAATGTAACATACAATTTTTTTTCATAAACATTTATTATTCCTTGGGAAGTTGGGAAAACAAAGGGCAATGAAAAGATGATTCTTATTTCATAGTATGTTTTTCTATTGATATTTAGTTGAATTAAGATATGGTATTTATTTACTTATAAAAAAAAAAGAATTAAAAACTGAATTTACAAAAAAAATTATATATACGAAATAATGCAAAAAAATAGATGTAGGCAGTGGGAAAATCTTAACAAACACAATATGTTTAAGCCAGGTGTGTAAAAACTGTTTTAATTCCTAATGTTTCTCCCAATCTAACGGATATGCCCCAGATATTTTGACAAAAATCATGATGAATCCAATGTGTTTCTGTTCCCTCTAATTTACATCTTTCAAATTACTAGTTATTTCAATCTGGGGGTGGGAGTAGATATTTAAAATACTACATACTTTCAGAAACATAAAGTTGAAGTTATCACTCATAATTTCTTTTAAAACTCCCGAAGGTGTGAAGGTAAAATGTCTTAACAATACTGTACAAATAAATACTGAAATGTATATATTTCCAGGCTATCCAGAAATTCATTATTTTTCTGGCCAATAGAGAACACGTTTCCTTCAATATACATGCAATCTTAATAATCTTAAATACCTACATTGAAAAAGGGAACAATTTTGAACCAACTCTTCTAACTTTAATGAGCCTTATGCAAAATTAACCTTAAAGCTTATAAAATCATAATAAGATATTACTAGGCCTTTACTATTTAAAAAAAGAATTAACTACATATCAGTTTTCAAAAACGTATAGTAAATCTATGGGAAGTTGCTTTAAGAGCAAAGGGTGTTTGAGGTTAAGTCTCAAAAGTATAAATATTTTTCTTCGATGGCTCTTTTGTACTTTACCAACTTGTAAAATATGTAAATAAAAAAAAGTGAGGTTATCTAGTATTATTTCCAACCTTTTTCAAAAAAGCCGGCATTGAAAAGATTTTGTAAGTATTCAAGTAAAATCGGTTACTTTTACTTACACGAGTTTAAGGAAATTTTGTCCAAACTAATACAGTTGACACAAAAAGTACCTCCATTTCTTATAGAAGATTTTGTTAAAACAAACAATTCAAATTTTTTTCTCAGGGTATCTCATATTCTCATTACATATTTTACTACTGAACTGAATATTCAGTAAACTATATTTCAAAGTGTTTCCCTTCAGTATTAAATTACAGCTTAGTTCATAACACTCATTGAACCAACATTTTAAGCGACATCAAACACTTTTGATTTCAATCCTCACTTTTCCACAAATAAATAAATAAAAATATCGATAGGAACTAATATAAAATATATAAATAATTTCCAACCATTCTCGCTGTACCGCGAAGCACAATTCCAAGAAAAAGAAAATTGCACCCAAGAAACATTGCACTTGACAATTCGATGGCAGTATCATTAGACGACGATGCAAGCCACTGCGATCGAACTTACGACGTTAACAAACAGAGTTAACACCTATTGATGAACACTTATTTTACAGGCTGCTAAGTTGTCCTCTACCTCATTATTTGTTCTAACTATACTACACTTCTGCTTAAACGATTATAAAAACCATGATATGATCGGCGAGCAAGGGTCTGTGAGAAGTTCAGGTGATAATGGATCACTGATCATCTGGAAAACATTAAGGTCAAGTTATTGTACAATCTAGAGTTTAAAGTAAATATTTCATTTGAATAGGTTACTATCAGAGTCACAATATTAGAGCCAGGCATGAGAATCATTAACATAATTAAAACCAATTAGGATGAAAAAAATTCTCTAGGGAATCTTTTATCTAGAAAGAAAAATCATGAACAATTATGTTCAAACACATCTTGTTGTGTCGGTGTGGTAAAAATATCTTTCAGGTAATCAAGTGCATGGCATCCTAGAAATATTACGGTGTTAATTACGGTATAGGACAAGTAGTACAACATAATGCTGACCTATTATTTAAATTTTTATTAAACATGTTATTTTTTAATCTTGTTTCTTTTAAAATTTAAATTCAAGGAGGAGAAATAGCATATTAGAGTGAACACACAAGGATTGGATTCAAATAGTTTTTTAATAGATTAAAACTTTCATCTAACACAGAAAATTTAAATTTTCCTATAAATGAAGCATGCTTTAATTTTTTTTGTCAAACTCAGATAAAGATTTGTGTAGGCCTAGTAAATTTAAGCAAAAGGTTTTCCATAGATTTGGGTATAAAAAATAAGGGGTAAGATATACCAATTCAGTCCTAGCATTGGTATGGTAACTAAACTCACAAATCAAAAGTTAACCAATAAAGCCACTCATGGTGCATTAACACAAGTCCTTACTCTATTTTCTGCGGCTGGCCTTCTCTGCTAGTTTCTCTGCCTTTTTGAGCAGTCTCTCTTTCTCCTTGCGTTCTTTGTCATGCTGCCTTCGCTCCTTCTCCACCTGCAACCAACAAATCATTTTACAATTTACAAGAAACGTTTTTTGGTTATATATACAATACCTACTTCTTTAATACGTGGATAAGATGCTTAATCTTATTTTACCAAGAATTTCATAATACTTATTCACAGTACAATGTAGTAGGTGATTTTCTATTATTTATATGATGGTTTTGATCCAAATAGATAAGTTAGGACCAACTGTTCTCGTTCTGACATGAGTGTGAATACTTACTTGTTCTATATTATTCAATAAACTCATATAGACAATGAAGAATACAAATAATTAAAACAATTTCCTTAAATTGCCAGCAATATAATATTTAATTTACTACCATATGAGTTTTTCTAAGCTTTATAGCTAAGTTAGGATCAAACAATCTGACATGAGGGTGTACAGGCCTATCGCCTCGTTTCTATAGACATTTGTCTCACTCTCATTACTATACATTTTTAGTATAATACTGTCTTGTCACTATAGACTTCGTACAGTTTAGTCATACTACGATAGACCTATAGTACTGTCACACTCATTAAGACTTAAGAAGACCTTTTAGTATAGGACGGTCTTACCATCTCAACACTATAGACCTACACAGTGTCAAGGCAGAATCACCAAAATGCATTAGGGTATCCACTTTAGTCAACGATAGCGAGACACTAACCTGCACTCTAAGCTCCTTGAGTTTTCGCTTGAGCCGAGTCTTGTCGTCTCCTAGCAGTCCCAGACTCTTGAGATCACGAGACTCTAGTGCTAGGAGACTGGTGCCTGTCACTTGGTGCTCCAGGAACCTGGGGATGTGTTGCTCCAGACCTAGCACCATCAGCCACTGACACACCTGCACCAACAACCAGATCATCAGGGCCAGGCTACAATATAACTTTGGTAAAGGATTACAGTAGACCCCCTCTTAACACATTGAACCCTAAGCCCGAGTATAGGTCGGGGTATGACGTAAGACACACTGAACTAACCCCGAGTATAGGTCGGGCTTCAATATTAAATTCCATAGCAACGTAATGACGTCACATTTGCTATTTTTGTTATTACGTAACCATTCCTTGGTCATCTGGCTTCGATTGTAATACCCCACAACCTAAAAAAAAGCAGCTGTTTGGTAACACAAAAAAAAGATCCAGCTGTCTGCAGCCTTGCATCGTATTGCTTAGTGATGACGACGACGACGCTTTGTTGTTGTTGTCTGCGCTAATGGCTGTCTTTGTTTACAATCGTTTATGTGTTCAATAAAGTGAATGTTTTATGTTTTTTACAAGTATTATGATTGCGTAATAGTTCTTGTTATGAGCAATACCTTGTTGTGGATAATTTTTATTGTGTTTAGTGTCAAATATGAGCGATATATTTGATAAAAAAACGTTGAGTCATATTCGTGAACTCTTGTCAGAATCAGACCATAGTGATGAAGAAAATCAATCTTTTAGTGAAAATAATTACTTATGTTCAGGACCTAGTTCTACTACAATATCAGTAAATGAAAACTTGAATGATCCTATTTATGATTCTGGTTCGGAAGGTGAGTTTGTTGTAAGTAATTTAGATGCTTTTCAAAATGAGGTTAGTGCAGTTACATACATGGTTGATGAAAATGATCCTGATGAGTTGGTGTTTTATGATTTACTACCAAGTGACATAGACAATGATGACTGTAAAAATGAATCAATTTCAGTAGTTGAAGAAGATGAAAGTAGAAACTTAGGCCCAATTAGATGTAAATATAACCCTACAATTTACTCTGATGAAGAAAACTGTGATGAACCAGAAACAGTTCTAGACACTACTAGGCCTACAGATGGTATACCATTTAGGCCTAACCCTCTTGAAATTAGTCATGAACAACCACCCAATCAGCCTAATCATAAAATCTGCAAAAACAGAAAATTACTTAGGCCTAATAGTTCGATAGTTTCTTCGGATGACGAACTGTGTGATCCTGATTTCGACAATGTTGACAAAGATCCTGATTTTCTACCTAGTGATCGTGAAGATAATGTCTTACAGCCTTCAGCTACTTCTTGTTTAGGTTCTCTTAGGCCTAATAAAGTAACCAACCAAGTAAAACGCCGGTCAAATAGTACTAATTATAATCGTAAAACCAAAAGACATCGATCTATATCGCCAAATGAAAACTTACCGGATAATGCAAATTTACCTGTGCCAAATGAAAACTTTGAACATGAACCGGAGCAGACTCAACCAAGGAAAAAGAAGAAAAAAAAACCCACTGATGAGGAACTTGGATGGCGGTTGGAGGACAACCCACCGCCACTACCAGCATTTGACGAGTTAGGCGCTGGTGTTACGGCTGCTATTGATGAGAACTCAACTCCATTTGATGTGTTTTCTATATTTTTTCCTGAATTTTTTATCAAATCATTGAAGTCAGAGACAAATAAATATGCCAAATCTATAACCGATAAACTAAGAAGATCAAACAAATTGAAGAAAAATAGTGTCTGGTCAAAATGGACAACCGTAAAGCTTTATGAAATTTACCATTTTTTCTCGATTGTATTGCACATGTGTGTTGTGAAAAAACCTAAACTTAGTGACTATTGGTCAACAGACAATTTTATAAAATCTATGTATGCTCCATCAGTCATGGCCAGGGATAGGTTCCTAGCAATTTTGGCAAATTTTCACATCAATGATAATTCAACATACATCCCATTCAACACTCCAGGCCACGATCCGTTACATAAACTAAGACCATATATAGATCTTTTGCTGACTTCTTTCCCAATGTGTTTTTCACCGTACGAAGATTTGACCATAGACGAAGGAACTTGCGGATTCAGGGGTAGAGTTCGGTTTAGAGTTTATAATAAAAGTAAGCCTGACAAGTACGGGGTGAAATTATATGTTTTGTGTGATGCATCTACAGGATATGTTCTAAAATTTGAAGCCTACACCGGTAAGTCTGACTCCAGTAATACAGTTGTAGCTCTATATGAGAGATTGTTGGCAGATTACCTCAATAAAGGACATACTATTTATAATGATAGATTTTACTCTTCACCAAAGCTTTTTGACTTTCTCTGGGAGAAAAATACTAAAGCAGTCGGTACCTGCATGAGCAATAGGACCGAGTTGCCCAAGACTGTCACCACTAAAAAGCTACAAAAAAATGAAACTGTTTTCATGAGAAGAAACCATTTACTCTGCATAAAATGGAAAGATACTAGAGATGTCTTAGCTCTATCAACAGCTCATAAAATGACTACATCAGAAGTTACGGTGCGTACAAAACAAGGGATGTTGCAAAAACACAAACCAGATCTGATTTTGGATTACAACAATAAAAAAACAGGTGTGGACAGAAATGACCAGTTTATTTCCTATTACCCTTTCAAGAGGAAACAGATGAAATGGTGGAAAAAAATGTTCTTCCACTTGTTTATGATGTCAATTGTCAACGCATTTATCTTATATCGAAAAACCAGACCTGCAAACCTGAGACCCCTCTGTCACCTTGAAAAATTTATAATAGCAATTGGAAAATCATTGAGCGAAAAAGCAGGGACTTTATTACAAGAAGAGGAAACTGCAAGAGCCACAAAATCTGATCGACTTATTGGACGTCATTTCCCTGACAAAATCCCCTCTACGGACAAGAAAAAAAATCCTACAAGAATTTGCAAAGTGTGTTCGGAAAAAAACAAAGTTTCTACAGGAAAATCTGGAAGAAAAGAAACTTCTTGGTGGTGTCCAGAGTGCCAAACACCATTGTGTGTGCCTGAATGTTTTAGACTGTATCATACCAAAGCAGACTATAGTAAAGCCTAGGCTAGATGTGCTTGGGAACTGATACGACAACGACATTTCAATTTCTCGTGTTATAATATGTAAGGTAAGCAATATAACTATATACATGTATATATTTCCTGAAAGGGCATGTTGTTCTCTTCAATTTCACATGATATAAATGCCATAATTATGCTAAAGTAAATATTAAATACTTTTTTAATTAGGTTAGTACTTGCGGTTGCAATTTTTGTTTTTCTCAATTTTTTTTGTTATTTCAAACTGAAACCCTGTAATTTATAGCCTACGGTAATGTAATAAAATATATGTCATTTAAAAGCTTATTATTTTCTCTTTAATTTGATATATTATTCACCAGAAAAAAAGTTTTTTTTTACCAAGCTACAAATTTTTAATAATACCCTAAAATTGCCCAGTAACGCCCATACTAAGGGCATTTTGCGCTCAGGGTTAAAAGTGTTAACCGACCCTAATGGGACCGGACCTAGGTCGGATAACTCAAAAGGTCGGATAAAACGGGCAATCCCTAAAATCAAAACATAATGAAGTGCTATTCATTTGGAATTATATAATCATTATTTTGAAGTCATACTTGCATTATTTATAAAATAAACTACTCTTATCTCCTTTTTCATATTGATAGAAAAGTCACAAATAAACACAAAACACAGTTAAGTAAAATAGGCCTACTTTCAGTGGAATATATTATTATAATACTAGGCAAGAGTCAATAAAATTCATATTTTAATAACTTTAATACTGTAATGTATTAATTGATGCTTTCCAAATACATCGTAATAAAGTACAGAACCTTTTGTCGACATTAAAGATACAAGCGACCATTTTGTTACAAAACAGGACGTTTATTTATAGCCTCTCACTGGAGGCTCCAGGCACAAAAACTATCTTGACCTTGGAGTTGTTAACCCCCTTTCCCTGCCTTCCTTACAAGTTGCGTTGTTTGTTTACTCCGGCGATAAGATAACCAGTTCTTAAAATCGTAACGCACTTTATGATGTTATAAATTTGCCGCACAGATAACAAATCAGATCAGATGTGCTCGAGCTACGAACGATGATGACAAACTGACAATAGGCTATGCAATATTTTTTGTGATCAACACAAAATAACTTATTGTTAGTCATATCCTGTGGAGATAAGCGTATGGTTCAGTTCTCATCGCCCAGCGTGGGAGCGGAAATGCCGAGATTCCTAGAAAGCGGCGGTTAAACCGAGCTGCTCTCAAATCAAGGTCGGTTAAAACAAACTGTATTATTTTACGATCGAAGGCGGATAATCCGATTATCGGTTAATACGAGGTCGGTTAAGAGGGGGTCTACTGTATGACAAATCGGAAGTGGTTTCAATAGTACTCTTTATACATGGTTGAGTAAAGCTACAACAATGACAGTATTGATTTTTGGATACTGAAGTAGACATCCCATCTTAATGGATTACCTGTCACCAATTTCAGTTAGAAAAAGACCCTAGTTGAATGCGCCAGTCTAAAATTTAATTTTTTACCTTATTTTTTATCTGTGTGTGTGTGTGTCTGTGTGTTGGGATGTTTACATAGCTAAAGACTACACCTGTGGTCTGTTTGTGATGAAATTTGGTATGTAGGTACTAATCCATAATATCTCCAGGCGTTTTTAATTTTTTTTCATTTTGATTTTTAATGTTGATTTTCCCATAAAACCCATAAAATAACGGAAAAATCAGATTTTATAAAAAATGGCCGGAACAATTTTTATAAAAATTTAGTAGGTATGTTGTATCCCTTTAAATTTTGAACAAAATGGCACAACTCCCATTTCTGTAAAAATTACGGTTCTAAAGTTTTTGTAGCTTTATGTTATTTTTCCCATAAAAAAAAACAGAAAAAAGGATTAAAAAAACAAGATTTTGATTTTAATTCATCTGTTATGGTCCTAAAATTAAAAAAAAAAATAGTGCAACCCCCATTCCTATAAAATTACTGTTCAAAAAGCTAATAAAATGAAACATTGTGATTTACCCATTAAATATCATAGTTGAACAAGATTTTGAGGAAAGTGTACGGACCGATTTTTGAGGATGGACAATGGAGATCGAGACATAATTGGGAACTAAGAGAATTATTTAAGGATCCAGATATTGTCGCTGAGGTACAGAGCAGAAGACTGAGATGGGCAGGGCATATTCTAAGAAAAGATGACAACTCCCTATCAAAGAACATCTTGAGGAATAACCCAGAAGGTAGAAGACCCCTTGGAAGACCGAAACTTAGATGGTTCGACCAAGTGGAGAAAGACCTGAGGAAGCTAGGGAGAAGGAAGAAAGATGGAAGAAGCAGAGACCTATGGAGGCAGTGTGTTGGGGAGGCCAAGTACCACCTAGGGTACCAGTGGCCACAGCAGTAAGTAAGTAAATATCATAGTTAGTTACTCTCATCGCTCATGATAAAGGTTGTTGACAAGCTAATGGGAGAAAGTATGTGTCAGATTGCTGATACCGTTTATTTGTAACTGAGATAGTTTTCAAGACATAACAGATGCTTTAGCTTACAATTCATCCTATCAATTTGACTTGGTTGAAACGTCTACGTATGCGACGAAATCAGCAATCTACATCAGTGAATCTGTTGAGGGCTCAATTTAACTGTGTCCATTTTGTAAAAAAAAACTGGCTACAGCTTTATCATGGATATGGAATCTCTAGTTCTATCAATAGTCAAAGATGACATCCACATAGATAGATATTCGTTTATTTTAGAATGTAACATGCACACCTAAATCTAAGACATATCTGCATCGTACCTGTTCTTTCGACCAGTCACTGACTGGAGCCGAGTGCCAAATATGGGTGGAAGACTTCCTCTCACTAGAGGTGGACGAGTTGAGATCTGACGGCTGGGGCGGACTCCACACATCACTGGAGTCTGCAATGTAACAGTTACAAACATGTTGTTATAAGGAATATCATATGTTCGTAGCAGATAAATAAAATAATACAAGCTGCTATACCCGTGCTTTGCAACGGGAAGAAAATGTGACCTAGAGAGCTATTAAAGTGGTGCTGATGTGTGTTTTAAAATACAGCAACTCCATGATTTAGTTTGAAAATATAAACTGATTTAAAAGCGTAAACCTGCTTACTTTCAAACCCCTACTTTTGATGTTAATAGATCCCTAAGAATATTATAACATACCTTAGTGTAGCAATAGCATAAATTATTGCTTCATATTGATGCTTTATGAATGACATGTTTTACCATTTTCTTCAATTTTAGTCAAGCCTATTCACATGTAGATTACTATATAAATAAAAAAAATGAAACTTTGAGCAATACTTTACAAAACGTATTCAACCTCACTTAAAACCAAACATAACCCTATTCAATCTTCATAAATTAAATTTAATCATGTAAACGTTGGAAGCATGCCAGGCGTAGCCCTTTGGAAATCAGCCTGTGGGGCAAAGCCCTTAGGAAATTCGTCCATATCAATACTTTTTGGCAAATCTACACACTCTATAAGCTTAATTTTGATGTGCCATATGCCAATATTTTTATTTGGTAAATGACCTTAACCGTTTACATAAAATTTGATTGTATCACTTTAATAATATAATAGATAAGAGGATACACGTTCTTGCCTTGTTTTTGACATAATTTGGAAATCATATATAAAATAATGATTCACCAGTAATTAAAATTTTATATTGGTTTACGCAGCAATCCTAGACAGTTTTTAATTTTTATCAGGCGATCTTGGTATAGTTTGTAAAACAAGATATATTAGATTTTTTTGTTTTAAAAAGATAAGACAAAAAACCTTTTTGAATTTGAATTGATGAATGAAACAGTCTTTCAAAACTGTGGCTGTCCCGAGGATAAAATTAGCTGACATAGATTAATCACAATTCTTTTCAAAAGTGAATATAAAATATTTGTTTGGAAACAACATAAATTATATTTTTATTCAACATTTCCTCACATGGGGCAGGAAAACACTTAAGCAAAACTGACCTGTAGACCCTAGTTTGGAAGGGCTAGGATCAGCTGTTAATACTCCCGGAGATACACTGCCTGATGAAGAGGGAGAACTCTGCTGCCAAGGGTACTGTAGGGTGCCGGGGATCAGGCCTTTCTTGACTGTCACACAAACATTGATTGTTAAGAGAGGATAAAGTATTGTCAACTAATGCAAATATAAGCCACTCATATAAAAGACTTTTTAGTAAGGACTATGAAGTGTTTGTTTTCAAGGTAGGATGTATTTACTTTCTGGGCTACAAATGGGAAACATCTGCCATTTGGAAAAGCAGCAGCAATACTTTATTTGTAAGGGTCTGCGGGTCCCCAATATTTTTGGTTTGGGTCAAGCCAACAGTTAGCTTTAAGGGTCGTATTGGGCCAAGATAATTTTAGGCACAAAATTGGGCTGGGTTAAGCCAATCCGAGCTTTTATTTTTGCAATTGCAGAAAGCATCTGTGTAGATGCGCAAACGGAAATTGAAGATTTCCCACAATTGCAGATTATGTTAAACGGTTTCGCTGCACCCGTGGGAAACGGTTATGATGATGATAATGTGATAAAAGAAGATGTACACAATATCACCATGACCGCTGATGGTTTCGATTTCACCGTAACTGTGGCAGGCGTTCTAGTTTTTGCTGTGATTGTGGAAGATGTTCATACATAGGTCATGTATAATATTCTTTCTGCTGAGAGGGGTAAATTAATTAATCTTAGAAATCTTTCCAAAGCAACCGGATTTTGGTCAGACCCGAATTTGGCTTGAGACTCTATGGCCAAAATTTTCACCCGACCTGACCTGAAATGAAAAAGCTTGGCCCTCAGACTCCTATCAACGTTAGAAATGTTGCTCACTTTTAGCATTAGCTTGGTTAACAGCCATGCTGAATTCCTCCTCCAGTGATGTAGGAGCTGACGATGTAGATGTAGTAGAAGTGTTCATCTCTCCGTGTTGAGCTCTACGTTCTCTCTCAGCTAACACTTGCTTCAGTTGCTCAGCCAGTGAGGGAGGAGGTCCAGCTAACTGTCCTGTAAACGTATCATAAGTTCCAGCACTGTATTGTACAATAAATAGAAAATAACAATACAAATATAGGAAAGGTAGGAATGATCCACACTTGAGGAAAAATGTTTTAAAACCTTATACCCATTCACAACCTTAGCACAGTAAAAGCAAAAGCCCAGGTTTTTGTAAATAGCGAGCATTAAGAATCTGCACTCCAAGAATTCAACCAAACTAGCTATTCAATTAGAAGGATGCCATAGCTTAATGAGATAGTCAAAAAAGGGTGCAAAGCAAGGATTTCAGTGTCCATACTGTTTGACCAAAGGACATAAAACTGTTACTGTAAAAGGTTTGAGGAGTCTACTGTTGCAATTGTTGATAGAACCTACACAACTGTTCACAATTCATGAGAGGTTTATCTTCAAGGAAGTGTTAACAAATACATTATTATACACCCGACAATAAGATAAGAAACATTGAAGGCCTGATAGTGTAATGTAGATACAGCAATTTCTACATCTATTTTTGACTTGGGCCATTGTACGAGGGTTGTTTTTTTTTCAACCTCCGATAGGCTATGAACAAAAGACAAGTTCATATAAAACATTAAATTTATTACCAAAAGTTTGGTCCATTTATGGTTACTTTTTGACATAATCACCAAAGAGATTGAGACATTTGCTATATCTGTGCACCAGCTTTTTAATACCCTCTTCAAGAAAAGTGGCCGCCAGTACATTCAAAAAACAAAAAAATTCAAAACACAAAAAATGTAAAAAAAAATAAAAAAATCAAGAAAAAATAAAAAAAAAGGACTTTAAAATGTCTAGAAATTCAGTAAACAAAGCAATAATGGTGAATCTGTGGTTTATTTAACCATCCTGTCAAACTGTTGAACCAAGTCATCTGAAACGACAGTAATGAGCTGGTTCAACAAGTTGGCAGAATGGTTAAATAAACCACAGATTCGCCATTATTGATTTGTTTACTGAATTTCTAGACATTTTAAAGTCCTTTTTTTATTTTTTCTAGATTTTTTAATTTTTTGACATTTTTTAGTTTTTTGATTTTTTTTGTTTTTTGGAATGTACTGGCGGCCACTTTTCTTGAAGAGGGTATTAAAAAACTGGTGCACAGATATAGCAAATGTCTCAATCTCTTTGGTGATTATGTCAAAAAGTAACCATAAATGAACCAAACTTTTGGTAATAAATTTAATGTTTTATATGAACTTGTCTTTTGTTCATAGCCTATCGGAGGTTGAAAAAAAACAACCCTCGTACATAATGCACAAGTTGATTTTAAATTGAATGTACCTGAATGCCAAACTTGATCTCCATACTGTTGTGCAAAAGCTCTTCTTCTGTCCTCATCATCAGATCCATCATTGCTTTCATCTAGGCCATAGTCCTGCAATATCAATAGAGAAACAAAATTTATACAGGTTCAAATAGCTTTGCTAACAGTTAAAAAAAATGTTTAGCTGAAACAACAGCAGCTATCCAAATCTATATTCTTTAATTATTTTAAACTCTGAAACGACATTTCAATATAGCCGATCAAAACTCCTTAACATTTTGCTCCACCCACAACAACTGTATAATTTTATTACATACATACTTTGTTTTGTACCTACGAGTAGTATAAAAAATCCAACTCTTCTAAATGAGGTAAAAGTACTTCTTTTTGTTTAGCTTACCATTCCCACAAAATCTACTTTGCTACTTTACATAACATTTTAAATTAGTTTTTTTTTTTTTGGGAGTATGACTAAATTACGGACTAAATGTAGGTATTAAGTGCTGAGGTTTTGGCCTTATTGTAGAAAACCATCTCCAGAACAGTTCGCCGGAACAAGTGAAAGGTACTATCATCTTCTAGTACTAGTGAACTGGAAACAAGGCCGAAACGTCAGCTCAGAACTTAAAAATGAGTTTCTGTCTGTCACAAGATAGACATCCCAGAAACAAAAGAACCTTGGGCCATTTGAGCCGCGCAAGTTTGAAGGGTACGCCACACCTACCGGCGCGAATCTTGTTATCTTAAGTTTCTGCTCAGGTTGTTTTGTTCTTGGGATGTCTATAGAAATACTGGTTTATGGTGTTAATGACTGTAAAAGCCTTTCTTCCTAGTATGCTAGGCGTTAGCCCGGAACCGTTTTACACATTACTTCAGGCTAGACCGAGAGTTGCGGCACTATCACTTAGATGAAATCCAATGGTGATTAGCAGGGTCTGAACCTGGGACTTTACGGACTGAGGTAACACGCTCAACCACTAGACCAGCTTGCTCCCTTCAACCTTTCTTCTTGTGTAAGAGCTATCTGAGATCATATTCAATAACATGTATGTCTACTCACGGAGCTGCTGTTGCTAAGTCCGCCAGATCGTTTGCCTGTTGGAGCTTGTCTGTTTGCCAGCCCTCCTCTCATAGCCAACTCTGCTTTGCTCTTGTGAGCCGAACTGTCCAGCAGCTCATGTTGGGGAACAGCCTTATCAAACTCTTCTTTGGCTGGCACCTATGACCAACATATTAGTATTAAGCTTGTGACTTACTCAAAAGAAAGTAAATCCTCCTATATAATAACTCCAAGAAAAACCTGTCATTCTTAATCTGTAACAATACACCTAACTAGCTACTAACCTTAACCTCTTTTTTTCTTCAACTTGCTTACAAAAGATAACTAAGCTTTTTACCTTATGGTCTTTCACAGATGAGGTAGGAACCCTCATTTTCACTAAAATGTTCAAGATTTTATCTTAGCGTGCATGTGTATATGTTCTGTTCATTATTAATGTTGACAAACTTCAAATAAAGCGTCAAGATCTAGAACTTGCCTGATAATAACTCCAATCTGAGTTTAAAATGGTTGCTCTACTGCAACGTTCTGACTCACATTAATACAGGTACATACACCAATTTATACAGCTGATTTTAAGGGATATTTTACATCACCTTTCTCTCCACAGTGGCTGTCCTGTCTTGCTCGTCAGCGCTGTCCTCAGTTTCACTGAGCTCGGCCCCCAGTTGCTGCAGTAGTGGTGGAGGGGGAGCGGACGGTCGTCGTGTGGCCGGAGGCGTAGACAAGCGAGGGGCAACAGCTGGACCTCCTGGTAATCCTACAGGCAACCCTGCCACCCTCTGAGTCTCCACCAGCTCTGCCTCTACTTGGATGATCTTTAAAAGTAATTTAGTACAGATACAATGAATGTTGCTGCTAAATAGGCACAGATTGGAGTTTTAAAATAACCCATCATTTGCTTTACACTTAAAAATATATCTGTAAAATACCCCCGATTGCAGCAAATCTGCAGACTAAGCATTTTTAAATTTGACCGGGTTAGTTGGTATTGTTATTTATTCTCAGTGATATATAACAGTTTGCTAGTAACAAGACCAGGATTCAAGTGGTTACCATTAAAAATAATTTAAAATACATATATGGTATTAAAAGACACTAATTGGGACCAAAAAATTTACAAAAAATCTGATAACTAACGCGGCGGCCTACGTTATTTAACGTAGTGCGGGACTGGCATGCGCGGCGGACTACGTAGCACTAGCATTCCTAACTCTAAAGTATTGATCCAGTGTGAGCTTAGCCCCGCACAGGGAACGTTGTTTCACTTGCCGCTTGTTGTGTTAGTTTTATACTTCGATCCGGTATAGTTTGTTTTCAGATCTGACAAATTCATTGGTGGTGGGGACTGATCAAAATTTAGTGTATTGGGTTTCGTCTTGGATTTGATTAAATTGAATAGAATATTGACAATAACTGTAAAGTGTAGCATTGTGGAAGGAAACTAAGCTCAAAATTGTGCTTGACACATTTTTTGCTGTATTATTTGATAGCGTATCCAGGTTTTTTGTCCCTGCTTTTTCTCTTGAACAAAAAGAGTTAAGCTAGGCAAGTTTAATTTTATTTATTCATGTCAAAGTCAAATGGCATAAAATAACCTTGATCATGAGAACCTGTACATTGAATCGCATAAGCTGCAAACTAAATTAGTTAGAAAGAACTAACTTGCTTTTACAAGTAGCAGAATTTGAGAACAAATAATCTGTGTTTAACTATACCAAATCTAATGTTTCAAATCTTCACAAAAAGTTCACACAAAGTATCACAAAGTTTCAAATTCAAATAAACTTTATTTCAAACATTGAACAGTTCAAAACTGCATTTTACAAGAATATAAATAACGAACCTTTAAAATAAAACTCCTATCTATGTTCATAACAATTCAGTAACAAAACAACTTTATTTCAACATCAAACAGCAATAGTTGATTAAGCATGTCAAAGTTTTGAGTCCAGAATACTGTAATAACGTTATATCGATAACAAAATATAAAAACAGTTCTAGTAATATAAAAATCGAAACATTTATTATGTTTAAAGTTTTGAGTTATTAATGTTTAAATATCATCAGTATACAAGTGAGGGCTGGGAGGCCAAGGTTTAGCACTACATTTGACAGGTGTGTATGGACGAGGCAATTCAAATCTTTGCATACTTTTCTTTTGCAAGTTTTTGCCATCACTAAAACTTAGTCGTTCAAAGGCTTTAGATAATGAAAGGACTTGTCCCCCACTGCAATCTTCCTGGTTTTCAGAACATTCAGTTCTCCCGTTACTATTATTTTCTTCCCACACAATATCTTTGAAGCCGCCAGAACCCGAATTGCGTCTATCGCCTGGCGATTTTTTCCTAAAAGTGACATTTTTCATAGGATTTTCAACCTTTGTTTCCCTTGCAGTATTTCTGCTAGAGCTTTTTTCAGAAAAAAGTGCTTGAACAATTTTACAAGCTTCAGTGTTTTTGCTTGAAGGAGAAGGATTGGGAAACACATGAGTTTTTGGTGGTTTCTGCAAATCATCAGGTTTTTCAGTGAAGGGAGGTACAGGAAGAGGAATGTCCTGGAAACACAAAGGTATTTTTAAAAAATATAAAAAAAACTTTTGAATTTAAATTGAGATGAAAATCTGAGAATCTTTACAGAATTATCGTGCCTAAATATGATGATCTAAATGAAGTGTGGTGTTTTGGCTTCTGGGAACCTCAAAATGGCCCCAGACTAATTAGGTGTTACAATAAATCAAGATTATGGTAATAAACTACTTCTCTATAGGGTAAAAAACTTTCCAAAGTGGTGGGCAATACACATTAGGTTTGATGTCTTTATCACATACGTCAACAGATACCTCTAATTAAGTTTTTCTGTCAACCTCAAACAGAACATAAATTCTTTTAATGAAAGAGCGAGGTAACAAAATATTTCTTTAATACTTAAGTCTGAAATGGCGACTATACGAAGGTAGGCATTTTTAGACAAGTATGAAGGGATATGAGTGTAGGATTTTAGAAATAAATTATACTGTGTGGCATCTATATTTAAATGATTTTTTTTAACAGGTGACCACAAAAAAAGGTAACATAGGGTATTTCTACTTTGGGCTTTTGGACTATGTATACCTCCCCAACGACTAACCACATAAAGTGTAACTTGCACCACTGACAACTCATTGATTTTCTCCGTCTAGGTTGACTCACCCTGTCTTTGAGTGCCTTGACCAATGCGTTGTACTCAGTGTCCTTCTCTTGAAGTAGTTGAATGTAGAACTCCTCTCTGTGCAACAGGTCTGTTTCTCTTTGCAGAAACTCCCTCAGCAACCTCTTGGCCTTGTAATATTTCTTCTCCAGCACAATGTACTGACCCTGCCAACAAATCATCAAGTGCTGTCAGTGAAACATTTACTGAATACCTTGCAATGGTAATCAGATCACAAACCTTATTTTAATAATATCGATAAGTCTACCAAGCCTGATGGGTAAATTGAAACAAGAAAAACAATGTTAATAATACAAAGTTAACTACGATGTTAACTGTACAAAGTTAACTTTAAGTACAGGTGCTTTGTCACTCTTCTGATAAAGTTTTAAATAGTCCATTCCATTTATTGATTACAGGATACCACAGTCAAAGTTTGATAATGATGCAAGTTACAAGCCTAACTGACTAGTCAAACATATTAGAGTGCAGATTAAACAGTTAATACGCCAATTTGTCTCATCAATAAAAATACAAAAAGAATCACTAGGCCAGTGAATATTTTGTAGCCTTAACATTGAGTGACATTATGAATTTCTATTTACACACTCTGAAAGAGATCTCTGATTACAAACAGAGAGGACAGGAGGGCAGATATGATATAGATATAATAAATCAAAACATATACACTGGACAGTGGACACAGCTGATTCTTGAAATGCTACCTTCAAAAATGGGTATGAAGAATTGACTATCTCTTAAGTTTGATAATCCTATGTTAAAATTCCCTATCTTCAAATACGGTTGTTGTGCGGTACCCACTAACTTGTTTGATCTCAAAATTGGCTAACTCCGAAACTCACTAAAACGTGCTAAAGCCAGGATTAGTGAGCTACGACCGAGTATGAACTGGCTAACTTGGTCCCTTGGCGGACTCCCTAACTACCAATGTGAAGCCTAGCCCCGCTCAATGGGAGCTAAGCACAAAGAGTATTGAATAGTGTTGCCAAAATTGTACTTCTGATGGTATCATGGTATTGATCCCATAATATATTGGGGATTAGTCAGTCAGTGAGTCTTATCAGTATGTGCGCTGCGTCAGCACCTACGGAGTCTGGAATCTTTGATTAATTGGCCGGCCAAATGTGTTATGACTAAGAGTTAGCAATTTCTGCTACCAGACAGGGGTTTAGCAGCTTCCAGAGTAAGCAAATTCCAAGTCTGACAACTGACCTGAGACTGTTCTAGCATGTCTTGATACGTTGACACATCCTTCCTAGCCGAGGCCAGACTGCGCTCAACCTCTCTGACACGTAAACTTGCCTGTCGTAACCTCTCCATAGTCTCCTCCCTGCTGGCTCCGGTCTCTTCCAACTCCTCCACCTGTCATACAATCACAACCATCACTCCAACAACAGCAACACACATTTAAGGGAGTTTTCCTAACTGCCTAATTCGGTTACCAATTATGGCTGCGTTTTTCGACACCAAATCAACACACAAGGGTCTGGTGCAGGCATTTCCCTAGCTGGTGAATTCAGCAGGGACTGTATCCCACGGCAGGCTGCGAGACAGGCGACTGTTCCATGAGCAATCAGTTCCACACCCTGCATGACATATATGTGCTCTTGGACTATTTCTAGTATAGTTCATCAAGCGGTAGTGAATTGTAACGGTTCTCAGTCGTGACAGTGTCGTCTTGTTAACAAATTTAATCGGTTAATTATTTAGTTCCCGTTACTTTAAATTCTGAAGGGTGAAATGCGACAATTTAGCTTTAAACTACAATCATTAATTTAGTTAAAATGTTTATTCTTTTCATTTACCAATATCATACTGGACTAAAATTTTTAGTCTGAGGATAAACAATTGAATAGAACTAGTCGTGGAACACAAGTTTATCTAGAACGCACATCCAGATATCAAGAACGTCTTAAAAAGAGACAAACTGTGGACACTACTAAAAACTGATGCATAAACCAACTCTGCAATTGAATATTGCAGCTCTAGGAAAATGCCATAGCTGAAAAACGCAAGCGCTAAAAAAACTGCACAACATTCACAGTCCCTCAGCCGTATTAGGCAGCTAGGTAAACCCGCCTTTAGCTGTAAGCCAATTAAAGGGATCATTGCACTTCTGCAGTTCTAACTCACGCACACATACACTTGTGGTGTATTCTTGGTGAATTTCAGTGCAGATATCAAGTAGAGATACTGTTGAGAGTGACGTTAAGATGAAAAGTGGACTAACTAATACACTTGGTGACAAGGCAAATCAGTTTGAATTGTACTGTGAGTACACAGCTAGAATTTATTACTTTCACCTAATAAACTGAAGGCAGCAAAAACAGAAATCAACATAAGATAATCATTTATTTAATGTTAGCTTAGACTAGATAGTTCTATTAAATTAGCTGCAAACCATTACTTCTAAGCTGACCAAAGGATTTAGTTGCATACCTTAAAAAAATTCAGCTACGCATTAGTCCCATTCCCATGCTTAAAATCGATGGTTAAGTAAATTGGACAACTATCTATGGAGCCAAAACTTACCACTTAACTCTCACGAGGAAAAAAATGTTATACTTTTATTTTAGTTAAGACATTAGAATGTTCAAAATTTAACTTTTGCAAGGGTGGTTACTAATAGACAAAGGTTAATATTGCTAAATTAATATAATTTCATGAAAACTCTTTAAATATGAATAGTAACAATATTCTTAAAACAATCATCAAACATTAGAAGACATAATGTTTTAAAATTGAATCTTCCATTAACCCCGGAAAAGAATAATCCCTTAAAATATCCAATTTTAGCCCAACAAATTGTCATTTTCTTTTACTGCAAGATATTTTAAAGAATTTAAACTACAAAGTGTAACTCATTATAACAGAATGCAAAACCATTGATCTGTTACAGACTAGTAACAATCTGAGGTGAGATTACACCTTGAGGATGCTCAATTACAATACATTTTTAGTATTCCATCAAATTACTACGTGATTTGTTAATTTCAAAGCCTAAAACAAAGTTATTTCCCAGCAAATCGCCAAAGCATAATTTTAACAAAACAAGCAAAGAAACCATAGTAAATATCACAAGAAAGTGAAAAATCACTTAAACAGTAAACGTCGGTTAATCTGGCCATGTTTAGCATTGCTATAAGTTAAAAGGAAGACTTAGGTTTTTTTTTTTAGTAGCTCCATTATATAGGAGCCCTAGCCACCATTACCTTTTGACTTTTGAGTCAGTTGAACTTGGTCTTCAAGATTCGACGGTGTCAAAGACATAAACTGATAACTAGGAGCTGACGTTTTGGCCTCGTTACAGAAAGCCATCATCGATGCAAGTGTTTGGCTATCTAAGACAAGGCCGAAACGTCAACTTTAGTTATCTGATACATGATCGAACCCTGAGGACCAAGTTTGTAGTAATTAATGGAAATCATGAATCAAATACACACAAACCAATCTTTTGAATATTCTTGCACATTGCACTAAAAAAACTTTGAACAAGTAGATGAACCGAGGTTTAGTCAATTTAAATTATAAACCGCCAACAAACTTTTCAAAGCCAACACCGCATTAGTAGAAGAAACTCAATGTTAGAAAACAGCGAACCATGCAACAAACTCTCACCCGAGCCTTTAAAGTGGCTACTTCGGCATCCGCAACTGCAGTACGCAGTCGGCTCTGAAACATGCCACAGTCATGCCACAACACTTATCCCAGCTCATGACCCCAGTGGAGGAGGTTATGTTGGCATTGTAAATAGTTTATGTTTTAATAATGATGATTTCCCAAAAAATACTTAATCTTGGGGACAGTTGATAAAACTATTGGCCTGATAACTACAAGGCTGTAGGCTGCACTTTTTTACTTTGGGTGCCTCCGGGTCTTGGCCCGAACTTCTCTGGTTTTACAACAGCGGTATTTTTAACTTACAAAAAGAAATAATTTAATACTGGTTTTAAACCAATTTCTGTTTTTCACAGTTAAAAACATAGCCCCTACTTAACCTGGCAAGAAAAACATGGAACATACCGTAATCGTGCATTATAAGGTTGAAGGAAAGAGACAGTTGTAAGAAGATAACAATAACAAATGTAAATCTGATGTATGGCTTTTTGAAATGGAAAGAAAGAAACATTACGTAAATAAGAAAGTACACTTAAATACCAACTCAAATAACATATTCACAGATGTACACATAATGGACAGATTTAGAAGTAAAAACAATGTGAAACTTCAGTAAATTTCTAGCTTTTACCACAAGTAGCTAAAAAGGATTACTACATGATACAATAATTTTCAGTAATTTATAACATTAAGTAGAGCTAAATACCAAAGTTTCTTCGGAAACATGCCTTACCTAAAATTAATGGATCTGAAACCTGATAATCATTATTTTCATTCTCAATTTATTTTTGTCGTAATTGATAACTTTATCTCAACCTTTTTAAATTTTTTTATAAATACTACTATTTACAACACAAGTCAACAATCATAATAAGGTTCTTTATTTCTAATTTCTAATAAACTATAGTTAAATTCTGGTTTAACAAATGTTGAATATGTATTTCTATAAATCAGTTGTTGTCTGGTTATATTATATTCATAATCAAACATACCCTGTTAAGACAGTGTTTCAACTTAGTTCCAACTGTAGAAAGAAGCAGAAATCTGATTCCACATTCTGTAAGATTTATTTTTCACTGATCTGATGCAAAATTGTACTCTATTGTGCATTTTTCAATATATTTCAAGACCTAATACATGAATGCAACTTAATTTTAAATTTCTTACAACCAAGTCATCATATTATAAGTACAGCACATGTTATGAAGTCCAGTTACCTCTTGCAACAACAGTTTGAGGCCCTCCAAGCTGATGTCCTCGTTTGTCCGTTGGTCGTTGTCATGTTCGTTGGTTGATGCCAACTGGTTGTTCTCTTGATCCAACAGTTGGTTGCGTTGCCGTTCCATCTGCCGCCTGTGCTCTTCTCTCTCTCTGTCAGCCTGGCCAAACATCATATGATAATGCAAAACCAAAACTCAGTTTAATCATAGACAAAAATAATTAAATATAGGCTGTCAGCTGCGCTGCGGTTACCATAGGTTCTGGCGCACACCGCTGGGAGCGCCATGTGGTTACGGCATACGCGCTACGTAACTACACGGCGCTTCCAGCAGTCTGCGCCAGAACCTATGGTAACCATGGTAACCGCAGCACGACTGACAGTCTATATTTAATTCTTTTTGTCTATGGTTTAATGTATAGAGAGTGGAAACAAGTAAATCCCAAATTGGGTATACATTACAGCTGAATAATTCATCTAAATTTCTAGAAAAAGACTGTGCCATTTCCATGCATCATTTCGATTGAAATAAAATCGAAATGATTAAGTGATTATATTTCACCCAAGATATATACAATTTACAATTGGTTTTACTTATCACTAAATATGTCAATGGAAATGTCTTTGCGGCTAGCTTACTTGGTCAGCACTCAACATAAATTCAATAATAATATTAACTTAAATTATAATAAATTTTCCTCCAATAAAATCTGTAAAGTGATTAATTTTAACAAATTAAATTTTTGAATTAAGTCCCATCTTTTTGACAAAGCATCTTTTAAATAACTTGCGCATGTCATTCCCATTCAAAATTACTATTTATTGCTCCCTTCTCAGAATTGGACAGCCAAAATAAAACTTATAGTCTTTAAATATGGGGCAAACAGAAATAAAATGAACACATTTTTCTAGCAAACGAATCATAATTTATTGTTAGCCACCCACCGTTTTAAGTTAGGGTTGATTTTTATTGTATTTGAATAATATCTTGGCAGGGGCAGGCTACTAGGTATGACTTAAGAGTGACAAACCTGCAGAGATTGCCTGATGAGTTGCGCCACTTCGCTGTTGTGAGGATCTTTCTCTCGTCCGATGACAAACTTGACGGGTCCGCAAGTGTTGCGCAACACAGAGGCTGCGTAAGCTTGTGTCACTCCGACCAGAGACTTGCCGTCCACCTCTATGATCTGGTCATTCACCTTAAACACCACAACCATCAAGACAGTTAGTCAAGTATGAGAGAGCGAGGGTAATTGAGTGGAATAGGTAACATACAGGGTCCACAAATGATAAGTACGATTTTATACATTGATATAAACACCCCAGTTGATGAACTAAGAAACAATTAGGGAAGCTCTTTTTTTAGGATTCTAACAAATATGATAAACAAATAAACAAACTATTTGTAAAATTGAAGGTCTCACCTGTATTCTCCCATCCTTGGCAGCTGCTCCATTCTCTGTTATGGTCTTCACGAAAATGCCCAGTTTCTCCAGCCCCGCATCAGCTCCTACCCCCATACCTATGATACTCAGCCCCAGCCCCTCTGGCCCCTTCAGCAACTCAACCTCCAGTAGCTCCAACTTCTCAACTCTCTTCTCCAACTCGTACTCAGCCGAAGCTGCCACCGGGTCTACGTCGTCGTTACGTCTGTCATACTCGGACATAGAGAATGTACTGTACACCTGCGGTGCGACACAAACAAAGCTATCAGTGTCATTTTCAAATCAAATCAAAACATCTTTATTTATCCTGTTAATATCAATGACACAAATAGTAACAGTAATATTTTTTCTAAAACTATTCCTTTAAATTAAATAAATTAAATCCATCCAGAGAATACAAAGGATTCTCAATTAAAGCATTTCAAAATATTGCCAAACTTTAAATAATCTGGCTTAATTTTTTGGGGCATAGATTTTTTAATAAATATTATATTCGAAGGGAACAACAAATCAGTCTTCAGAATAGTATTTCTGTAAGCCCAAAATTGGGTATTTTGAGGGCAGCTCAAAATTTTTAAACGTAAAAACTTTATAAAATTAGTAAATTTGCGCAAACTAGAGGTCTTTATTTTAACCCAGTAAAAGATGGCGATCATTTGAAAATTCAAGAAAAATACATTTACAAGGGGCCTTTTAGACTACTAACAATATACATTTTGTACCAAGTTGAGATAGAGACCTCTGGTTTTCGTTGGTGTTCATTCTTTAATAAAGTCTTTTCCCAGCTGAAGATGTCCTGATATGTCTGAGTGTTTACCTTAATAGGTCCTTGGCTGAAGGTGACCTTGGTGTTTTGTTTGACAGGGATGTTCGGTTCATCCTCCGCCTCCTGCAATCCCGGCATCTCCATCCAGAAGTGGCCGTCCTCATAGTAGTGGATGCCCTTTTCCTCGTACACCTTCAACAAACAAGGTAATCAACAGAGGTCTGTGTGTCTATGATAATTTTGGGTTAGGTAAACCATTGGCCCGAACCGTTAAACATGCCAAAAAGAATTTGAGCCAAGCTGGGATCGGGCCAATCCAAGCTTTTATTTTGGCAATGGCAAAAAGCAACTGCGAACATGTGTGATCAAAAATGTATAAAATTTAAATGTAAATAAGAGAGGACACAAAGGACAATGATGTCACTGTGAACTAAGAAGACATTCAGGTTTACTCTGTGACCGCAGAATATTTTTACGATTTTTCATATTACAAATTTTCAAAGTACCTTGATTTTTGACCTGATGCCTGATGGTTTTTTTTACCTAAAAAATGTATTAACAGATCTGAAATAAAGAAGTCTTCCACCCCTAGTATTCAATCATATTCCAACTAATAAAAAAAACAAAACACATAAAATTTTAAAACATTTTGGTTCAAAGTAAAACATAAATAATCAATTTTTTGTTGTTGATAATTAGTAGTTAGTAAATTCAGCATTTAGCAAAGTCAAATATTAGAATTATTGAGCATTCTTAAAAAAGTTGTAATGCAACATTATATTGATTGATAAAATGGAACTTTAACAGTAGCAGAGGCTCATTTGATTAAGTTCTATGTAAATAAGAATAATTGGCTACAGCTGCTATGGCATCTCACCTCTCTATTAGGCTCAGGTACAAATCCATGGTAAGGGTCGTCTTCATCCTCATTGTCTCTTGATATGTCCAGGTCATCAAGGCTGTTAACAGATAATAGATCTGACTGAGAGCCGAGATGACTACTAGCATCAGCCACTGAGGAGTCTATAGTAGCAGTGGACCCTAGCAGGGAGTCCTCTTGTCTAGTAGAACTCGCTAGTCTGTGGACAACACAACATTAAAACAGCAAGAAACAACCACTAACTAATTAAAACTTGGTAAAATACTAAAATAGTAGTTAAGCTTCAAGTATAACAGTTGTTCCATGTACATTTCTGATTGAGTATGCCATATTCAGGTCCAAACAGGCAAGGTGTTAGGTTGTTTTTTATTTAAAGTTCATTTTTAGTGGGGTAAAAACAAAATCTTGCGTAAACATCTCCCGCAATCACAACACCATCATTAAAACATATTAAACATGTTGGCGCCATTGTGAAGATCTTCCACGATTATGGTGACATCGCCATCATCTCCTGAGTTGCGGACATCATCATCACCCGTCATACCGGCGATATCTCCTGTGATCGTGGAGGCTTCATCATCTACTGTCACAACTAGGCAAAATCACTTTGGAATAAATAGTTTTGTTATGTTCCAGACTTGTTGACTGACCTGTTGTCCATGGATGCAGATAGAACATCTTGAAGCCACTCAGGCTCCGTCTGTTTGTCTTTGTCAGGAGACAACAGTCTCACCACCTCCTGAGCCTCCTCATCTGACAGTAGTGCCTCGTGGCTGCTGTAAAACATACAACATACAACTAGACGTTCTATCCCCATGTTAGAGTTGCCACCATTTTTTAATCAAAATAAACGTATAGGGAAACTACAATTATCTGTCCTCCAACTATTCAAATTGCAAACCATTCTAATCCCTTATAGAAATAATTTTAAAAATCTGAGACTTAAGAAATAAGAACTATGATAAGAAAGCAGACGCTGGAATTGCGGCAAAAACTTCAATATCTTTGCGATATTAAAGACATCATCGTCTCCCATAGTCAAACAAATTTTATCTCTTGCAGTTACAATAACATTATCATCGTCCCCCGCAAACATGGCAAAAGCAAACATTTTCCGATGGCAAAAGCGTACATTTTTCCATTGCAAAATCTTCAATTTAGTTGAAAATCTAACCCCCGAACTGATTTGGATAGTCCAGTAATCTAAGTGAGCTACCGCTACTGTGTGCTAAATGACTGTCAACTTTTTAACCAACCCTTACAGGTTGGTCGACTTGCCATAGGCTATAGAATACCTTTTTTAAATCAACTATCTCAGCAACAAAAACTAAAGGAGGAAATGCTTTTTTTACTATTGCATAAGTATCTCATTCATCTATGTTCTTGAATAAAAATTGGGGACAGCTGGTCCATATAGATGGGATGTTACTTTAGTACTCAAGAGTCAATATTAAAATGTGAAGGTTGTACTCGTAATTATTCCCAGATATGACAATAATAAGCACCTTTTTATAATATAGTAATGTTTTAATTTAGCATATAACAATTAATTATTGACATTTTTCTGAAACATTAGTGTTTCATTAAAACCACAGTAATTTTAACTTTTAATTGTTATCTGAAGATTGTTAGGACGTTTTCCTCTTAGTGCTTATCAGAGAAACAATAAGACTAATGAATAAAATTGCTGTGGACAAAGTTTAGTGCAGATAAATAAACTATTATCCTTTGTCCAGAGGTTTACATATTATTATGCTAATCTGATTTTTCAAGAATAATTATGCTTAATCATAAAATTAACATGCAAAATGCCTTTTTGTTCTAAAAAAATAGCAGAGGAAAAGACAGACTAGGAAGACGCTAACTGTAACTTGTATTACCAAATTAAAAACGTGCAAATATTCAAAATGCACTGTCAGACTTAAACAAGATCCAACAAGCTCCAAACAATGCATTCCATCTAAACAAACCGTGGTGATACAAGAATGAAACAACATTCATAGAATATCTTTGGAATGATTTTATGTATTTTCCCAGTGGCAAGAACTAGAATATTAAATTATTATGATTGAACTATTACCTTTAGCCTTTGTTCTTGCAGATGTGAATTTAGATTCCTCCAACTTCCAACTTTCCTTAACTCGGTTAAGTTTATGTCGTGGCATTTTCACTAACGCGAGCACGAGTTGTGCTGTGTTATATTATGTATCGAACTTCCCGTCTCCCTGAGGATGCAACACACTGTTGCGAAATATATTATAGGAATCTAAATTCACATCTGCAAGAACCAAGGCTAAGGGTATCATAATAGTTACCATTAAATTGTAATTCTAAGTTTCTAAACAAAGATTCAAATAATGTGAATTTTAGATGAAAGTAGAAATCCTGGCTAGGGCCTAAATCGGACACATTCCAAAATTAAATAAAGTTTAACAAAGGCTAAACCCTGGTTGTAGAATGAGCGGGTCGAATACACTTTTGATCCTTTCGATGAACAAAATTTGTTGTCTTTCTGCACTATTTTTAGGTTTACTAATTCATAAATTAACAATAGTTAATTATTTTTATAAGTGAGCTCTCGAAATTGCTTCAGTTTTGTTTTGCGTACAAACAGAATGAACTACTTTAAAACTGCAAAGCATGTGCGGAAATCAACTATTTTTTGTGCAATGTGGTAAAAATGTTATTTGAGTTACTACATCCTTTTGGAATGTGTTGCGTATATAATAAGTAGAACTTTTATAATGTGTGATTATAGTTAATCAGCTAGAAAAAACTGTGAATATTCTCTAACTACCGTTGCAGGTATCTGTGATGTTTGTGCGTGTTTGGACATGTTAGAGACTTACCGAGATCGTTTCTCCAGGATCCTGTTGTTTCAGCAGGCACAAGCAGGTTTACAGGAACATAACAGTTCAGTTAGTACAAGCAATGCAATCAACATTGGCACTCCTTCTACAACTTGTACAACACTAGGGGCATGTAGGGACATAAGTCCCTAAAAAGCTCAAATTATAAAAACACTCATTTTAGATTTTAATATTCAATCAAAATAAGGATCAAATTATTTATTTGTCAAGATGGATATGCCTTTACACCATATCTTTGTCTAAAAAAGTCGCTCTGTTTGCTTTGGTTGTTGTTCTCAATACGGTAGGCCTATATATGACATCCAATGTTTGTCCTTTATGCGTTACTAAATGATCATCCGATCGTGATTCGTGATGCAACTTTAGGGAAGAAAATAAGTACCATAAAAAATTAACAGTTTTATTAGGCACATTGAGTATTATTTAATGGTTTCAGGGTTCCATTTAAATTTGTCGAAGCCAATATTGACAGTTGACACGAAAATCTTTGGTTTGGTTTTTGGTTTTCAAAAAGTCTCAATAACAGAAAACGTTATCCCTGGTTCCAATGTTATTCATAAGGGGAAAATTTTACGTTATATTTAATTTTGTGTTAAAATTTGAGGAATTTCAATATTTTCCCCGCCATCACGGGATCGACACCTTTAATTTGAGCCCTCTCCCGTCGTCCTACGACTTCCCAGTCGCCCACAATTTTGACACAAAGAATTGGCTTACGTAATTAGATTCTGTTTTGTTGGACGGGCAGTGAGTTTAGTACTTCTAAGTACACGGAAAATTTTGAATAGTTAGGCAATAATACTCTATTTACCTCAAGGATGTTCTAATTGATCGTGTTTGTGCAAAATTAATGAAATAATAAGAAATAATGAAATAATGAAAATTAATGTGGTAATAGTGATGGTCGGATCCGGATATCGGTCCACCGATTTTTTTTTACTAACACAAAGCTGTCTGTATCCATGTAAAAGACCGATTTTTTACTTAATGTCACAGTGCTGTATTTTACGACGTCAATAACCTCTATAGTTAGGCAATGTCACAATACTGTATATTACGACGCCAATAACCTCTATGGTTGTGCAATGTCACAATACTGTATATTACGACGCCAATAACCTCTATGGTTGTGTAATGTCACAGTACTGTATATTACAACATCAATAACCTGTATGGCTGGGCAATGTCACAGTCAATGTCATAGGCAATGTCGGATACGGCTAGCGATGTGTCGAATCCGGATCTCGAATCCACCGAATCTTAAGAAAAGACCGGGATTCGAGAATATATATTTTGTTAGAATATAATTATGAGGCATATACTGTGACATTGACTCACCATATAAGTTATTGACGTCGTAATATACAGTACTGTGACATTGCCCAACCATAGAAGTTATTGACGTCGTAATATACAGTACTGTGACATTGCCCAACCATACAGGTTATTGACGTCGTAATATACAGTACTGTGACATTGCCCTACCATAGAGGTTATTGGCGTCGTAATATACAGTACTGTGACATTGCCCAACCATACAGGTTATTGACGTCGTAATATACAGTACTGTGACATTGCCTAACCATAGAGGTTATTGACGTCGTTATATACAGTACTGTGACATTGCCTAACCATAGAGGTTATTGACGTCGTAATATACAGTACTGTGACATTGCCCAACTAATATGATCAACTAATAGTTTCATTTTAAGATTTGGAAAAGTTAAGTGTCCCCAAAAAATGAGGGATTATGGGCTCAACTGGAGATTACTCTATAAATAAGATATATTAACCTTTAAACATTATAATTTAATTTTAAACAATATGATTTAAATTGGCATTCTGTTAATTACGTTTTTTTAACAAGCCCTTATGACAATGTGTATCTGGATCCAGATCCGAAAATCCGGATCCGAATTTTTCAAGATCCGGATCCGGAACCGACATTTTCTTGGATCCGCTCATCACTAATCAATAAAACACTATAACTGTCGCTTCATCACTGATAGCTACTTTGAGGAATACAATTATACATAGACTGGAATTCTATGTTGGACTTTACTGATTAAAGTGCAGTAAATGACAAATTATTGTTCTGTTTATTGTTCTGTTGAACCCATATTACCTCTGTTGACTCTAAAAAACCAACATCTGGCCTACCTATAATATTTAACCGTCAGGAAATTCTGTAGAGTATGCCATTGAAAGAAGGAGTACCAATGTAATGATAAATAAAGTAAAATAATGCACAAAACTATCATGCTAAATTAATAGATACATGCTTATGACAGTAATCAAGATAACTACTAAAAATTAAATAGACACGGAAGGTGAGTTTTCTAAGCAAAAGAACAATTGAAACAAGGAAAGTTTTGACTATTGTGGTTTGGATAAACATTTCAAGTTAAATATGTTAACTTGAATCTAAATGGTATAATCAGGATGTGCTAACTAACATTTTTATAAGAACGGTAATAAATATTTTTAGTGATTGATGTCAATGGAGTACTCATAATAGTTTTTATTCAACAAAAGACTGTTCAAATGCAGTAAGTAGAGAATAAATCATTCATGACAATAATACCAAACTATACAGGATATGAAGCGTTATGGTGATCCATTTAAACATATAGAGGAGTTTTAAGCGGAAAAAGTAAAATAGTTTTAGATGGTTAAAGGCTAAACAGCATTCATCCATTATAAATTTCATTCCATATTATTACATACAATGATTCAATGCAATATACATGCTATGGTTACAAACCATGCCAACAGTAATGTAAAAAATACGATGGAGGGTAAATATTGAAGAACATACATTTTTTGGTTTGTTATTTCCTATAATTACGAAGCAGCTCCCTTTCAGATGAAAGTTAAGAGTTTGTAACACATTAAAATGGAAAATAGGTAATGCTAGCCAAGCAATCAGGTTAGTTTGTAGGAAATTATTACCTGGAGCTCAGCAGGTTGTCAGCTTCATCAGGAGTCATTGTTTCAATGACAGGCGCAGGGTCAGTCTGCTGCTGTTAACAACAAAGTAAAATAAATTCAATTTTACTCTTAGGCGAACAACTAATGTAACTTAAGAAGTTACTATTTTAGGTGCTTCATTACTCAAAACATCAATTATTTTAGTAGTGGTACAAAAATAAACAGTAGTAGTGTTAACTGCACATGTGTCATTGTTGAAATTAAGCACTGAAAGTCTGTGGGTCCACAATGTTTTCAGGACCAGCCAACAGCTGGCTAAGGGATCGTTTCGGTCCAGAAATAGTTTTGGAGATAAATAAGATGTCGCCATGACTGTGGAAGAAATTAAAGATTTCACAATAAAAGGCCTAAGAAAGTGACGATTTCACCGTAGCAGAAGATGTTCATCGTTTTGCCATGACCATGAAACAAGTTCTTGATTTTGCCGTGACTGTGGAAAACATTAAAATTTTGAAAACAGATGTTCTAGATTGAACCTTAACCTTGGGAATGTTCAAAATTTCCCTCAGACTGAGGAAGTAGTTCTAGATTTTGCTGAAACCTCGGGAGAGGTTAACGATATTACTGTGACTGTGTAAAATAATTTTAAGAAATTCACCGCAATATTGGAAGATCATGTACAAAATTATGTATAAACTGATCATATTTTTACAATTAATATTTTAAAACCAATATAATGCAACCCGATTTTGTCTGACCAGACCTGACTTGAAGTAATGAGGTCTTGCCCGAAATCCCTTAGTTCTTTGAATTAAAATACAATTTCTGTAGAAGCTTGTAACTCAGGGTAGTCATACCTTAGGCTTGTACTGGTCCTCCTCACTAGAGTCTTCATCAGCGTACTGCACGTCCGGGACATCCAGCAGTCCTCCGTCCAACAGACGAGAGTCCAGCAGTCCAGCACAGCTGTCTGATAGTCCAGCCACACTGTCTGTCAGACCATCCAACTCCTGGACAACATTACAATTAGCTTTACTATCTCAGCGTACTGCACATTCAGAACCGCAGGAGATGTTTGGGAATTTGCTACAGCTAATTAAAGGATACCAAAACATAAAAATGCTTCTCTATTAACTAGGCCTACCATGTAAGACATGCATTGAAACATTACTTAGTCATGATAGTTTTGAAATAAATAGTAACTAATTTAATTGTTTTTTTCAAGGGTTATAGCATACATTTCCCATTAGATTTTAGTGAAACTTAAGTTTTACCAACAATAATTCCTGTAACAACATAAATTTACTATCATTATCAGCAAACCTTACACACACAAACTTTTATTTAAGTAGGCCTACCGGTAAGTCAAAAGGCTAAAATATAAGTTGGTGGTAAATGTTTGGTTTAAAATTTTAAACTGAAAATAAGCAAAAACCAACTGGTAAAAATTACAACCGACACATATCTGGGTTATTAATAACAAACTACTAGCCTATAAAAGTTTCATACTAGATTAGGAAATTTGTATTAAGTAGGGCCTACATAATTTTTTTCAAATTCTGCTTTGAGGAAAACATTATTGTAATAATTTATTCAAAACGTAGGCCATACTGTATTCTTGACTTGCCCTAGAAAATTTTAAGTTTATATCTAAAAAAAAATAAAAAATATCAAATAGGTAGTGTAGTTAAGTTGAAAATTTAAGTAAAAAAAATACCTCATCCATTGGGTACTCAGCTATGATTATAAGTCCAATCGCCAATTAGAAAAGAACGTAGCTTAAAAATATTAAAGGCCACTTAAAATCCACACTTACATATCCTATAACTTACATAAACTTGTATTCTCAAATAACAGCACATAGAAGTAAATTATAGACACAAATACTCAACTACAATAATATCAGTGGGTAAGGAAACTTTGCCTGACATAACTTGCTAATCACCAAGGTCAAGTCAAGTAATCTTAACTGTTACCTCAAATTGGTGACAGAATATCTCTTAATTACTGTATATCATTTACCGTCATAAGGGGTTTATAAAAAACTAACGACTTAAGGTAAATATATTATTTTTCTACTAGAAGAATCTGCAGACAATAACTTACAAAAGCAGAACTATGAAAAAAATGTAATTGTTAAACAGTAAAATGAACCAACTGAAAACGGTTTTATAATATTCTGGAAATGGGTTAACTGATTGTGTTGTAAAAATAAATTCAAAGAAAATGTAAAACTTATAATGTGAGCAATATTTTTACCTTAGTGATTGGAGTCTCTGAAGATAAAAAGCCTGAGTCCTCTTCACTAACAGAGCTGCTGCACATGTTGTTGTTGTTGTTGTTGATGTTGCTGTTGGGGTCGGACAGGTTGAATCTAGGAGCCAATGTTTCCTTGGATAACTGTATGTCGTCCAGTTTCTTCAACAACAAATCCTCCTCGCTCTCCGGCGGGCTGGGAACAAACATAAAAAAACTGTTAAAAGACATTTTCAATGTCAATCTAATATTTAGGTACGTAACAACATAACCATCTAGCTCCCATAGGTAGAATCTTTGACTATTGATACAACTAGACATTCCATCCTAATGCTAAAATTGTCGCCAGGTTTAAAATCAAATCATCGTAGTTGGTGTGAGCCACTGACAGATTGTGCTGATCTCAATTACAAATTTCTGTCGAATACATGAATCGTTTTACCAAGTCAAACTAATGGGATGACTTATTGTGAGCTATAGAAAATCTTACAATCCATAAACTTGGCCAGCAACAAAAAATAAGGTAGAAAATAGAAATTTAGATACTAGCACATTCTGTAACTGGCTCACAAACACTATGTTCTTTTTCAATAAAAAATTTGCAATAGTTGGTCCATATAAATAGGATGTCTAATTCAGCATCCAATAGTCAATGGTAGAACCAAATCATGTTTGTTTTATAATTACTATGATTCTACTACAGAACATTTAAACAATCTCTGTTAAGGCTAAATTTAGTCGAAATGAAAATCAACAAATACTTTTACAGAATTTGTTTTTCTCGACAAGTTAGAGAAACTTACTTCTGTAATGTATTAGTTGGCAATATGTACCAGAGTACACTGCTACTGTATTTCATTTGTTGTATGTAACAAGTTTTAACACTAACTGTTGACATGATATAAATAAAGGCATCTTAGAAGTTTTACTGGGTAAATTATCAATCATATTCCGAACCTGATTCTCCCTCCTTTCTTCTGTTACCACACTCGGTACGTTATATTTTGAGCAAACAATGTGGTATTATTTTGAATACTTGTCACTGCCAGTTAGATCTCTAACTTGCATCACTCACCTGAGTTGTTGTTCAAGTCTGTCCAGAGCCAATGAGGCTGGTGTCACTGTGGCTGGTTGGAAATGGTAGACACCTTCGTTGGCTTCCGACGAGAATTTGTAGCTCTGTCAATCAAAACATTATAGTTAACACAGTAAAGAGTTATAATAAGTTCACCAGCCATTCACTAAACATTGTTTAACACCTAACTGAGTACGCGACCCAACAAAATCATAAATTTTTTATCGTGCATCATTTCAGACAATTTCTGCGTATACAAAAAAGTAGGCCCGGCTTGAACTGTCCAATCTCTTGGGCTAACTTTTGGCTCGACCCAACCCGGAAATATCAAGTACTTGTAGACCCATAGCACCTGGAGGAATAGGCAATTCTATGTTAACATTAAATGTCAAAATAATATGAAACAAAGTCTTGATGATAACATGTTAACATCCTTTGTTATCGCCATAGGGCTGGATATGCACAAAATGTTAACTATTGTGGTACTGACCGGCTCTGAAGGCGAAGCTGCCATGACAGTCGTGGTGTGATGTCTCTCGGCCTCAAGCAGTTCAGCCACAGAAGCCGACAGCTCCACCTTATGTCTCTTGAGATCATTGTTTTCACCTTCCACGAGTCCATCACTAACGTCTTCTTCTCTCCTACGCTTGTCATCTACCCCTCGGCCTACAACAAAAATATAGATTTTTTTCTGTCCCACCATCACATTCTGAGATGTATGATCTAGCCCAGAACCGTTTTACAAATTACGTCAGGTAAGACCAAGAGGATTGTGTCATGATCACTTAGATCAAAACCATTGGTAACTGGCGGGATTTGAACCCGAGACCTCGGGAAATTCACCGCTAGACCAGCTCGCTAGAGTACAAAGGTCATAATAAATTCTATTCGACAAAGTGTTCCTTCTCTACAATGATAAGTGGCTTTAAACAATACAAGCAATATTCCTGTTTAGTAATACAATCTGTATCACAATTTTAGAAATTTATCCTAGAATCGACAGAACAAGTTTCCTTTTGATATAAATAAGTGTAAAATGTTACATCAAAATCTAAATATTTAATAGGTGTAGGTATACCCTAGTAAATTATTTTTAACCCTGTCACAGAATGATTCTTTTATGAGTTATTATTTAGTTCCATAAAACTTTTACTTTGTTGAAAAAAGAATTTCTATTTAAATTACGGTAAATAAATTAAACAATTTTTCTGCGGTCATTTAACTAAATTAAGTTCAGAAGATAAATAATTAAGAAACAGACAATAATGGACAGAAATCTTATTTCTGTTAAAAAAATGTTAGTACTCAATTGAAACATTAGACACAAGAGTAGTTCAACCATTATTAGTAGTGCAAGTTGCGTAGCTATTTTGAGCAAGAAGACAGACTTCTGGAATGTATTTGTTTGTGTTATTTGTTACATCCTGAGTAGTAATGGGTTTGTTTTATGTTACTTGGTTTAATAAGCAAACAAATAGAATACATAAATAAAACATTGCAAATATAATTCAAATGTAAAATAAACATACAGTACTTCAAAGTAAACTTACATCAGTAAATTATATTTTTTCTTATTAAAATAAAACTTGGTTTAGGTCTCTTTTTAAAAAATGTCTGGGCCTTTACAGTTGATAGACAATTAGATAAGAAAACAATTATTTCAGATTTTTATTTCCAACCCAATACTCTAGTCTGCGGTTAAAAAGGTACAGCTCAACAAACATTTTTGGAAGCTAACTTGGCATTGAGAAACAATAATAACACCGTTTAAATTATTGTTCGATGTTACAATATAGTAGTCAAGTGCTTAAAAATGGAAAAAAAAAACTGTAGAGGTTAATGCTGTTTCTATTAAAGAACCATAAATAAATCCTAAAATTATAATGATTTAGAACGTTCATAAAAATACCGGGCAGGTAATAAATGAACATAGGCTATCTTTAAAAATCCTACAACACTATGAGATGGTTGAAACAAAACACATTTTAAATAACAATCAAACAACACTCTTAAATCCATTTGAATTAAGGTTGGTAACTGCAAACATTTGTTTTTTGAAATGATGCGATCGCAAAACAACTTTGTACCTGTATAAATAAATTCATATATAAATGGTCTTACCAAACGAGGTACAACAAATAATTCTGAGACACATAGTTTCAGGTACTGAGAGTCTTCAGCATCAATAACACTGTAGCACTATTAGCATGATGAACACCAACTTGAGTAGATCATCAGTTAACATTAGCATTACACTGTGGTCTCGGCCTTGGTCAGATGTGGTCTGATTTTTAACTATGGTACACACTGACCGATTGCTTGTATGGAAATCAATTCAAACACAATGGTGTAACTTTCTTTCTTATTTCTTCAATCCAGATTTATACATTTTATCTAAAGGAATTAAAATTAACTCGTTATGGTGATTATTGAAAAATTCTAAGTTCTGGAAGAAGTTAAGATAACATAAAACGATAAAACGTTTTCCAGCTGACAATTTCATATTTATCAACATACATGTTTCAATAAGTAAAACTGTATTAACTAACCATTAAAAAAGGACGCCTAGTTCAAGAATTGATACAACCTTATATAAGACTTTTTAATATTTACTAGTTTTTTTCAAAAAGTAAGAATTTTCCTTCCACTTAATTTTTTTAACGTATACATTATTTCTTTGGTGTTACCGGTACCTATTCGAAGAAATTTTGAATAAAAAACAATTTATAAATAAGTAATTTATAAAAAAGTCTTAAAACAATATTTATTGCCTAAAAACTACCAATTAAAAAAAATTATAGAAAAATTATAATTAAAAACTCTTGCAAGTAAACCTTTTCTAATGAAACAACTTTAAACATCAATGTTAACAAAGAATTTCAGTCATGCACTGGTGATAACTATTATTGCACTGACAATATAAACCGATAACAGATACCACTGTTTCACAAACACACGTCGCTATCAGAACGTGAATCTACCAGACTAAACGCATCAGACAACCAGGGGCCACATGGTTGGCACAAACTGGCAACTCACCAGACCGATAATAGCTCCACTGTGTCCAAACGCTCATCCTAGCTGTCACGCTCACCATGATGTACTATCACACTCGCTCATCAAACAATTATACTGGGTGTTTTTATAAAATGCAACCCAAATTACATACAGAGAGCTATTACTAAGGGATGAAAAAAGCTTATAAGTTGGCAGCCCTGCTTCCTTTACTTCATAACCGATCAGCTGATATGCATTGTTGTCTACACGGCTTGTTACTGGGAATTTATTTTTATTGTGAATAAGACTCAACTTCTTTTCTCAAAAACACAATGTTTAAGATTTATTAATACACACCTATTGAATAACAAGTATTGTATTATTCATATTTACATATTTAATAACCTGTAGATTATTTATTAGTTACCAGGGTCTCACCTGGACACTTAAAACTGCAATCTTTTCTTATCATAAAACAAATAATTTACTTTTAATTTGTTCTCCTACAATACCTAATCTTTAAGCTTGCAAAGATACAAGGTTGTGTCTTATTTAAAATACATTCCTTATAACACTAAACCATACACAACAATGCAAAAATGCATGTCATCTGATTGGTAATGAAGTAAAGGAAGCAGCGCTACCAACTTATGAGCATGTTTTGTCTCTAAACATTGACTCCATGTAATTTAGGTCACGTTTTATAAAAGACACCATGTATAAAAGTCAAAGCATCATCAAGGAGAGATAAATTTTAATTTATAATTAGTGTTTTGAAGATACATTTTTTGTATCACTAATAGCATCAGCTTTTTGACTTGACTTATTCATTACTTCACTACACTGAAGTTTAATTAAAACTAAGTGCAGCTAACTGCCTAGTAATATGTATCTAGTGGTTGATAAGAATGGAAAACTTCAATCTCTTTGTCATACCAAATGATCAACTTGTCAAGTACTTCTTGTTCAGTAAGACCCAAAACCACTCCATTGTCAACGTGTTTGCTGGGCATTAAAGTATGTTTTCATTTCTGCTTTATTTTTTTTTTTGTCATAACTATAGGAAAAAATGGGAATGGAGATAAGCACACTTTTCTGCTGGACTCCTATTTTAATTCAAACAAAGACAATGTGTTACGGTACGTCCAGAGTGCAAGCAGATTCAGATTTTCAGCGGAAGGAATGGCAATTGCATTCAAATGGAAGTGGCCGTAGTGGCTGCTGGTTTCCAACCCCGCCTGCAGGCACCTGCTTACCGGAATGAATTCTTCATTCTGGTTTCAGATTCCGATTAAGATTTTACTCGTACGCATACTATATAATTAAATAAATTTTGTTTTTGTAGTAAAATATTTAATTTTTTTTTTTCATTACTTTTAGGGTTACCACTAAACGCTCTCGAGGAAAATTGTTTTGTTTGTGTAGGTCACACCTTACAATAGGATGTCCAATTTTAATAATAAGTTTCAGTGGTTTCAGTCTCCATTCAATGCAATATGGAAAGAAGCTTTATCATTTATAGCTATGGGAAAAAAGATATATAAATCATGAACACCATTTTCACCGGCTGTAACTTCATAACAGTTTCAGACTTTATCATTTTTCACATTAATTCCTCGTCTGACAATTCCATAACAACGACTGACTTGCTTCTTTGCTAACTGAGTCAGTACCGGAGGCGTATTTCCTGCTTCCACTGTGACCACCAACAAAATATCTGACTCAGATTAACCACCTGCCGAACATCTGAATGTAAATCGACGTGCACCCTGGACGTACCCTTGACACAAAGCTTTTGCATTATTCATAAAACATTTTTTTTCTTGGATAAGGATCACTAAAATGTCCTATTGAACACAACAAACTACCATTATTTACTATAATCGTACACTGTCAAAGGGTTTTTAAATGTAAAAAAAATGATAGTTATATAGGTAGGCCTACTCATTTTTTACTATTGATTTTTCTGTAATTATCCTTAGGAAAGAGATAAGACTGGTTGTAGCACGATTTCTTCTAATCTAATACAGATATTGCAAAAAAGAAAAAAAATGTAGAGATCAAACTCTTGGTCTTAACGCGTGTTGATTGTAAGAGGGTGGACTCATGGTCCAAGCACGTCAACCGAAGCTTATTGTGCATCTTAACGCGTGTTGCTTCATCATTGTAAAACAAGGCTGAAATACCACGAATATAAATTACTTGGAAAGTTTATAATCTAATTGTAAAGTAGTTATGGACATACCTGGAGAGACAGGGCTAACAGGAGATGTTGTAGAGTTGAGCTCGTTGGTGGTAGTAGTGGTGCAGCTGGTGGGTGTAGCAGGAGTGGGTGTAGTAGGAATGGGTGTAGCAGGGGTGGGTGTAGCAGGTAGTGAAGGTGATGAAGGTGTGGCAGACGTTGGTGACGGACTTCTCCTGGTAACACACCAAATTAAGGTTAGTGAATCTTAATGAGGTGACGAGTCAAGTACTTTTCTAACTCAATTGACTCTACCCGTAAGCTGCCATAGACTCGAGTTACAAGTAGATCTAACTTGATGATTGTGGTTTCTGAGTTTGTGGTTTCTCTGTTTGGGTTTGTGGTATAAAGAGGTGCGAGATGAATCAGACTCAACTCTAACATAATTAATTGATTGCCTCACTTTCGGCCAATGGCAAGTTAGATTTGTGAGTCTGACTCGTTTTTGGCCAATGGCGCTTTCGTGCTATCGTGAGTCAGACTGACTATCAGCCAATGACGTTTCACTTTTGGGAGTTAAGTAAGCTGATTTCTTAAGTTCATATGAGTTCAGCATACTCCGTATGAGTTTGCGGTTTAACAAGTTGACTTGTCTTTGTATCTGGATGGAGTGAATGGAGCATTACAACAACTCACCGCATCACCAGTGAATCTGAAATTACGTTTCTTGCTAAATTGAAATTGGTCTTTGCTTTCTGTTAACTTCAAATAAAGTGACATTTAGTAACTGAAGTTACCATCCAAATAATATCAAGCAACATTTGTGTTCCAATTATGATTTTACCTCTAACACTAAGAGTTAAAAAATGCATTTGCAGTCAGTTGAGGTGTGTGCATCACAAACTGTCTCTATTCATCATATTTTAATAAGTTGGTTAAATAAATAGTTAGTTGGGATTTTTCTTTCGTTTGGGGAAATGATTAATTAGTATTAAACTATACTGTTAATACTGTTCTATGACATGGCGACCATACAAAGTAGGTATTTTAAGCCAAGTATGAATGGAGATGAGTGTAGGATGAGTGGCGTGATCTTGTAGTCTTGTTAGTGACAAAGGCCAACATTTCTTAGACACAGCTGTTAATTAATAGCCCATACAGCTAATGGCAACTAAGGGACCTACAGTTTATAGTGGAATCCGAACCACAATTTTGCCTTGGTAATTTATCGGTCTAATTGGTTTATTGGTCTAATTATCGGGATAGTACTGCGGATAGTCGTAGTACTCACCCGTGCGGACGTTAATCCACACTGGGGAGTATCGCATCCACAGTGCATGCCTATAAATATCCACAATTTGTGACCTTCTAGTAGCTGGATGGATTACAGGACAACGCCACCCGTCCCAGTCTATAGTTAGCCTATAGCTAATGAAAGAGTAACCAACACAGGTTGATTTCCTTCCAACAAAAACCTAAACAGAGAACGCAATTCACACTTAGCGGGAGCGTCAATTGTCTTCCACAACTTGTTTAATACTAAGATGAGACTTGCAATCCCATGGTCTACTTATAAGCCTGGCCCTCTTTAAAAAAGATTAAACTAATTGTACCAAAGGACTGGGAACCAGCTAGAATAGTAGTGGATTAAGTAAGGAACACGAGCTTGCTTGGCTTTAACAATGTCTCAATGGAGACCTTGTGGAAAACCCTTGTATTCGGTATGGAATAGTTTGTTACTCAGAGTGGTCACTTACGCAATGATAGTTGGTGGTGTTGGTGGTGGGGGAGGTGGTGTGGTGGGGTGAGGTGGAGGCGGCGACCTGGCTGTCCTAGGCAAGTTGAATGAAGCAGACTTATTGACAGATACTGCAGGTGGCTCTACAGGTTTGGTGCTGGGATCACTGTTGTACCTACAGAGATAAACACTCAAGTTAGTACAGTACAAGATATTTAGTAACATTAAACCGTAGTGAGCCAAACCTAGTATTTTTACAAATGAATATAGTTCAAGCCGCCTCATTGTCACATCATCCGTCTTCCTATTCTGATGAACACTTGTTATTATCATGTACAGCTAACCATATAGAACAGTCAAACTTCAATAATAATCAACTCAAACTAAGGATTAAGGTTAACATTGTGACAATTCATTACACTATATTCAACCTAGAAATATCCAAGGGGGCCGTGACACTTCTGTAGGCCGTACAGAAATTATTATTTTTTGGCTGGGCAAGTGTGTTGAAATGTTCCAATTGTTTAACGGGTTTAAGTGTGTGTCCTATATGTGTGTATTTATTTATGTTATACTAGCTGGCCCGACAGACTTTGTCCTGTCCTAATGTGGTTTGATGTCAAATGCTCGTTCATTTTCAAGATGAGCTCGTTCGCATGGATCAATCACATCCTGGTTGAAGTTTGTTCGCTCCGCTCACTCACCTTTAGGTTGGAGCTTGTTCGCTGCGCTCACTTGCCTTCAGGTTTTAAGCCATTTTCAAAGAACAGACAATGTCTCCTTGAACCCATTGCAAGGCACGATAGCTGCTAGTTTTAATTAAAACCATGTAATATATTTGTTTAAAGTTATGTTAGAATAGAAATAAACACAACATAGGTTTAAGATTAATACACACTTCATAACAAATACCGTACACACACATTCAAGTTTATTATTAATTTACTGGGTAACCATAATGTTTGGTTAAAAGTGATACTTTTGTCTATTAAACACATAATTTAACTGAGCAAAACCGGGACACACACCTCCCATGGGGCGGTGAATTGGAATTTGTGGACGTCTTAGTACGCATGGCAAACACTGTGTATTACATATAAACTGTATTATGCAACTGACTCATTGCATAAAATAAATCAAACCTTTGAAAAGAAATACCAATACATAGATAGTAGCCTACCGTAGTTTTGTATTTTGTTAGTCAGAAAAAAAATTTGTTGAAGCGGATAGCAATAACCCAAAATCGTGCACAGTTATAAGGATTAATTCATCAATTCAGCCCACTGAGAAACCAAAACAAAAAATACTTACTGATAGAAAGATTTATAAACATGAATGTAGGGACATTCCTCAATGGTATTAATGGTTGGAACTTTCCTAAAATACAACAACTTGATAAAGAAACAATAATCCTACAAGAGATAAAATCACTAGGCCTATTCCTCCGGAACAAGTTCTATTCCAAATAAATTGAGAACAACTAATTGTAACAAGAGGCTTGTTTGATCAAATCAAATCTATTCATAAGGTACAGTTTTGTACACTAAATGGTGTCAACTTTTAATTATCTTAAAATAATATGTACATATTTTCTTATAGCATTGCATTAGATTGGTTGGGCTCGTTTAAGGAGAGGGGAAGATATAGGCTAAATTTGAATCAAACAATAAGTAATGAGGAACCCTGAAGGAAGAAGACCAAGAGGAAGGCCACGACAAAAATGGTGGAAAAAAGTGAAGGGAGATGTAGAGCGGATAGGAGCAACAGAGGAAGATGCAGAAGATCGAGTGAGAGGAGGGGCCTTGTTGGTGAGACCAAATATCCCCCTAAATATGCATGGCCCTGGGAGTAATTAAGACTAGACAGTATTCAAAAGTGTAGAAAAAGTATTCAACAGAAAAAAGTAGAGGTAAATCTCCCAAGCTAAGCTTCCTTATCAAGTAAAGTTTAAGAGAGTATGTTTCTATATCTATGATATTTGATGTCATTATAAAACTGTTTATTCTTAAAGCAAAACTAGCTCAGCTCAACTCTATTCAATTTATTGATACTGGGGTAGGCAAGGTTGGCCTAAATTTGCATCATTGTGTAGCAAAACTAATTCATACCTTACACAATTTGGTGGTTTAGTAGTGAGATCGATCATACGGTGGGATTTAAATAAAATGTTACTGCAAAGGTGTACTGTTTGGAACCCACTTCAAGCAACAGGCTTACCTAACAAAGCTATATACCTTTTATATAGGCTGATAGGCAAGGGAATTCAAACCTTAATTTTCCTCATGTAGTGCCTGTTAAATATAAATAATTCTAAAAAGTTTTTCTCAACCAGTTAATCGTACTCACCTAGGACTTGTTCGTGCTTTAGAGAAATGTGCCGTCCAATTCTTCTGTTTCTCTATCAGTTCTCGACTGTTCAGTCGCCTCTCTGGTTTCTCGGGTTTCTCCGGTTTTTCCGGTTTTGCCAGTTTCTCGCCAACCATCACTCCGTTAGCAACCGTCCTAGAAACACTTTTCACTGCACTGTTTTCCGAACTCACCGGTTTCACAGACACAATCTTTGATGTCATCAGAACACTTTCTTTACTTTTCACAGCCGAAGGTTTCACAAACCCATAGGGAGTTTCGTTGTTCACTGGGTTGATATCATGGGTTCCATTTGTAGTTACTTTACCGGTTACACCGTTTGTTGTTCTTGTTACCTGCAATGAAATGATAAATGGTTGGGTAATGAACAAGATATTACTTTGGTATAAAATGTGATGTTATAACTAACACTCATAATCCAACTCTGCCCTAAATATGAGCTTAAGCCTCTAGAGAATTGGAATTTCATTTCTCAATTTCAATTTCATTCCCTTTTGTTGAAGAAAGGAGGTTGTCAGAAAGGGATAACTTAGAGTCTTAATAATTGACGATAAAACTTGTGTTGGAACCGGTTGCCATTCAGATGAACAAGGATTAATTTGGCAACCAGGTACAAAAAGTTTCTGTATAGTACGTCATGTTTGTATTACCTGTGTAGGGATGGTAGGTGAGGGTATGAGGTTGGGTGAGGGGTCCCGAGTAGCTCTGTTAGGTGAGTCACCTCCAACAGACGACGCTGTTGAGCTGGACCTCGACCTCAGATCTGGCTTCTTTACCTTCGCCTCGTCCCCGGAACCTGCAATTTTAAAATAATAAATCGTGTCGTTTTAACCCTCTTAGTGCTATGGCACTTTATGCAATGCCGTACTGAAAAGTATGGCCAGCTTGGCGATACGAACCAGCATTGCCAAGGTCTAGAGAAAAAGTATATCTCCTTTATTTCTCAATATATTTTAAAGATATTTTTCTCTCCTTGAATTCTAGAACTAAAATTATTATATTACTGTTACTTGGATTTAGGTTTACTATGAAATTGTCTTTTGCACTGTTGGAAATGTTACTACTAAACTGACCATATTCATATTGGCAATCTATGGATACTAAAATTCTTCAACGGTAACCACTTACAATTGCAATACACTCTCAAAAATTATATTTGAACTAACATTTCTTCTTAACGAACAACAATGCAAATCACAAATGTCACTGTTTTGGTTCAATCTCGTTGTAACTAAAAATGTAAATAAAGAATAAAACTTTAAACAGATGGCCCTGGCGACATTGACGGAACAAAATGGAACTGCTACCAATAATTTGAAGCTTTTGAACTGAATAAACATCAACAACCCAAAATGTCTTTGGAATTGTTGGGTACTATATGACGTATGAAGTGTTGTTCTCAGCGATTGCTTGCACTGGAGCTGATAACGACATCATCCCTGTGAGCTACATTGTAGCACTAAGATGGTTAACATATAAAGAACAAGTTACAAAGAACGAAGCTACAATTTTACTGATTGTTAATTTGTACAAACAGGCCCGCGGTTTGCATCTAACTTGCTAGGGGCCCAAAAGAATTGGTAGCGTTACAGACTTGGGGCCCAAGGCAGGGATGCCGTGGGTTCGGGTCCTGGTACCGACCTCTATTTTTTACCAGTGCAGTTCACTCTTGTACTGTATCGGCTCAACCCTTGCTTTGCTGGATACGTTCTACGTAAAGGCCTCTGCCGTCCATGTGGACAGCCAAATGCAATGTTAAAGAGGCCACCAACCTCTTTTGAAAAAAATATAGACCTAATTGAGCCCTCTCAAAATTGTTCTCTTCCTTGCGCCCCCCCAAAAAAAAGTAGTTATTTTTCATTGTAAAAATGGTGTTTAAATGAAATGTAATGAAACAAACCTAAAACCTCTTTCATCAGGCTAATTTATCAAAACGGCCCTGTGTACAGCTTCTAAACACATTCCGTATTAGACTCGATAACAGAAAAAGTGTTAACAGCAGATGCTGTCCCGGTCAACATTTGCATGAAAGGTTTATCTTTGGATCTTAAATGTTAAATTGTTGTAATATATCTTTTAAACACTTAAGATAACATACATTTTTAGTTTGCTCTGTCAAGGCCTCAAACCTTAACATAATTGAAGGAGAATCAGAAGTTTAAATGACTCGCATAACAGTTGAAATGGTGAGATTCGGACTATGGAATTATTCCTGAAATTAATAGGTCAAACCATTCAAACTTCATTGATTTGTTTATTTACTAACAACCAGTTGAAAACCTATACCAGTTCATGCAACTAAAATATAGGGACCCCAAACAAAGCTTGAATGTACTATTCCATCATCAAATAAAACCGTTATTATAGTTCTGAGCACAAAACTGAAGAATTCAACCAGAACTGAGCTATTGAAACTGTTTGACATTATCGATCGCTGAAGCAGAAATTGTATCAAGGATAGTGGATATTGCATATTAAAATGAGAAAGCTTTTCTTTGCTGTTACAACTCTGACAGTGTCATTAATTTTGTATCTGTTATACTTTTTAGCTGCCAAGCTTATCAAGATTATATGCAAAAAGTCTTGAGACTCATAAATGGAGAGCTTAGGCATAAACCTTTGTTTAAAAAATGTAAAATTCAAACTGTGATAAATTTGTATATATTTGTTTGCTTGGTGAAGGTGAAAAAAGATTTTAATTTAGGTTTATTAGTTTTAAGATCAGATATCCATAGCCATAATACAAGAAACCAATCTATGCTAGACCTGCCATATACTAGGTTAAGTAAATGTCAAGATAGTTTTAATATAGTTAGTTTGAAATTATTTAGGCTAATAAGTTAAGTGATAGCTGTAAATTTCTGGAGCTTAAAGTGTTTAAAAAAAGGTTGTATGACTGGCTGATCCAAAATCCTTTTTACAGCCTAGACGAATTTTATAAAGAGCATTCTGTTAATTTTTAAATCAGTATTATAGTTATAAGCCTATCTGTTACAAATTGTATGTTATGTATTTTTTATTTATTTTGCATGTAAAATGACACTGTCTATTGCATGTATGTAATGCTGAAAGACAATAAATGATGATTCTGATTCTGATTCTTACAGTATTGTGATAGACTTGGGGGTGACCTAATGTCACTTACGTCCTTACATAGTAATCGTGACTTGTCCGCTGTTCAAAAATATACCTACGCTGTATCGTATTAGATCTTATGAACCATAGGCCTATTCCGTAACAAACACATTTTTGTATTTTATTTACCATGCCATTTTAAAATAAACCAAACACTTAACAGCTTATTTAAAAAGAACTTCAATGCTCAAATCATCTAAAAAATATTGATAATTAACTATCACTAATTATATATTAATAGACAAGCATGTTTCTTTAATAAATTTTTTTATGCTCGTGTGCATCGCAGGGAAAATCTACGCATACTGTTAGAAAGATATTTTCCTGTAGATGTGTAGAATCTGTTTATCAATTGAAATAGGCTCAAAAATAAGCACAAAAAATGAATTTTAAATTTGAAAAAATTAATATGGGTCTTATGGGTTGCCATGCTGGTGACGAAATAACTACGAAAACAAAATATAAACCAAAAATCAAAACAAATGAAAGAAAATCCAATCACATGTTTTATTTACAGCGTGGGGTGAAAATAGAGAAGGTCATTAAACGTATTTTAGGTCGAGTTTAGGACCACTGGACGGCCTCTAGTTTATATAAATGTTGAACTGTGTTTAAATCCTGGGGCGAGCTGGTAGTGGTAGAGTGCATGACTTTGGTCTCTGAGGTTAACGTTCGAATCCTGCCAATCACCAACATATATCGACGTGATAATGTTAGGATCCTCAGGGATTTGTAGAAGTAATGTGTTTTCCGGACTAATACATAAAATCCTACAATGTGAAGGTGGGACAAAAAACTTTTAAAATCCTAACACCCCCTCCTTCCTGTAGTTTAAGCTGAGAAAATACAAAACTACCAAGGATACAAGGGAAACTCCAAAGGTACACAAATTATTTGTGTTTTAAACTCCTCAAACATTCAAACTAATTATTACAAGTCTAGAGGTATGTCTCCTATCTACTCACCTAGTTTCTCAAAGAGTGCTCGTGCGTTGTTGAAGCGTGCGACGTGGCTCTCCGTGCGCACAACAGTTACCGTGGTGTCCCCGACGTGTTTAGGTACGTCTCCCGGACTACCAAGCACATCACCTGGGGATGGTGCCATAGCCTGGAAGATGTTTGCTATCTGGGAAACCTTAGAACCAACCATTCGGCCGCCGCCGCTGCCTGAGTTTTTCTTCTCTTCCATCATGCACTGCAAACAAACAAGGTAAAGGGGTGTATAGGGAAGAACTCGCAAAACTTTTGTTATAGGCTACATTTTAGAACTATCTCTAGTCTACATGTGCTTACTTGTTTTAAGATGGGACTTTCACAAATGTTTCCACATTTTGGATTTAAGATAGTAGGCTAAATTTCAGATAAAGAATTGAACTGTCATACACAATTATTATTGGGTGAGGTATTTGAATAACTTCTGTATTAGCATAATGCCAGTTATCAAATTTATGAAAGTAAATACAAATTTGTCTAATAACACTTGTAAGTTAACATTTATTTTTTTTTTCACAAACAACAAAACTTTATTTATACATTTCAAACAATTCAACATATGACTATGATTTTCAATCAAATATAAATGTTTAAAAAATAAAATGAAAGCTCAATAGAGCAATGGGGGAATTGCGGAACCATCTTCAAATTGAATACTTCAAATTTTTCATCTAGTTCCCCGTAGCCTAAGCGAAACCGCTCGAATGATGGAAAGCTGGCTTTGGATCCTCAACCATCCGATAATTTGGGAGTATGGTTTTCTCCATTTTACAGCCAGGGCTTCGCTTGTTCTCCTCTGAAACGCTTCATATTCTTTGTGGGGGACTCCTTCCGTGGAACATATTAATGGTGTGAAGCTTCCTCTGATGTCTTCGGCTGCTTTGTCGTATTTATTGTGTTTCTGAACAGCATGGTTTCGAGATATTGTTCCCCATTCTTGGTTGGCGTAAGAGGGAACGTCAGCATTAACAATGCGATTATCAAAAAACGCTACTCTCTCAGCCTCCCAAATACCATTAACTTTAAAATCAGCTTTTAAAGCAGGCACATTGTTTGCAGGGTCAGCTTCTCTCATAATAGGCTCGACTTCAACCCCTTTCCAGGCCATATTTGCTATCGCAGCACAGTGGTCTTGATGTTGATCATGCCCATGTTTGATCAATCCTCCTTTTTTACAATTTAAAGCATGTGTGAGATTCATAGGTTGATCACAACCATCACATCGTACTGGTAAATTTCTTAGTGTGCGGCCATAGCGAATTGACAAAGCATCTCTGAATTGATCCGGGGACAAATCCGTATGATCAGATGCACATGGTGTCACAGTTAACCATTGGCTAGTATTCCCTGCTACAATTCTAATTATTGGCTTCTTTTGAGTTTCAGGAAGTAATTCCATAATTCGTTCATTATTTGCTTTAGCCAACGTGTCTTTTTCTAGTTTTCTCTTCTTTTTTACATCTTGTAGTGTTGATACATGATCATTAATCTTTAATGGTTGTCCATTTTTAATGGCTAATATTAATTTTTCTGTGCATTGTTTTGATGTTTTAAATGAAATACCATCGTTCTTTGTCGGGTCCTGAATATTTAAGCCTCCAAAACGAGTAGGGAGAGAGAACAAGTCATGTTCAAGTTCAGAAATCTCTTGTTCGAAAAGGTTGGGAGTGAAATGGCGATGTATGGCAGTTTTTAAGTCTTCGTATTCTTCACTAAATCCCTCTGTTACTCTTTGGAGAAATGCCCATTCATTTTGTAATGACTTAGTAAAGGCAGTATACGCTGCTTGAGGACTTTTATGTGCAGCTATGCCAAATTTCTTTATACAGCCAAATTTCTTTATACAATCAACCCATTTTTTTACTTTTTCTTTCACGAATTCCTTCTTTTCTTCTGAGCTACCAATAATACCCCCTAAAAACCTGTACGATGTTACAATTTTCACTTGTAGGTCTCTGACAATTTCTTCTGCTTTTTCTTTATATTCAGGTTTTACTATCAATACACTTTTCTTGGGTTCTGGGTAATACCCCCATTTTGGCCCTTCAACACGTAAAGCATTAAACCATTCTCTAACTTTAAGTATTTCACCGAAACATGCAGAATCATCAGCGTACCAGTTTTGCTTCCAATTTAGGCTTTTTAGTTTTTTTACCAAAGGTAATATGCCAATTGCATACATTAGCATGCCTAAAGGGTCTCCCTGAGTGGTTCCTTCTTGACTAAGGATGATTTTATTGCTTCCTCTAAACATAATGGTTGCATAGCCTTGGTATGTATTGAATAGGAAACGAGCGCAACGAGGCCAAAGCACCCTAGCATTCCACAGAGTTAAAGGCCTGCTCAAGGCGTTGAACGCATTTGAAGCATCTACAAGTAAAATACAATTTTGGTTATTTTCATTGAATAGGTCCGTCATAGCATGTATAGCACCTTCTATTCCAGCTTTCGTTCCGGCGCAGAATTGGTCAGATCCACATATTTCTTGAACATCGTCACCTGTTACAAAAGCCATGGTTTTTGCACATAGTCTCTGCAAAACTTCTCCAACTCCTATTGGGCGAATACCAGGGTATTTGTTCAGTGCTAATCCTCTTCTAGCTAACAGAGCTCTGATCGAGTTCCAGTTTACTATCCCGTTTGCCATCCATCGAGTTAACGATGCAACTGCTTCCCTTAAACGAGTGCTATGTGCTCCATAGCGCAGCAACATATTCTTCCATTGATCAGCATTTGTTCCGCTAGGGCCAGCACTTCCATGCAAACGTCTAGCCATCTTCTCTATGTGGTCACTGGATATATCTACATGATCTACCATCAATGGTAAGTTCTCATCAGCTAGAAATGTATTGTCATTCGGAACCATTTGACGTGGATGCTTATTTTTTAAAACTTGAAAAACATCGGATATCGTAAGTTGTGAGAGTTATTAATAATATAGAGGTATAATGTATAAAATACTTATTTGTAGAAAACCTGTCTTCTTAAAGATCTTTTTGAAACACTGTTTGAAAGCTAATTTAAAAATTATTCACTAATAATCACTGAAAATTGAAGAGCAAAATTTTTATCAACTTTATAAGTTCAACATCAGCTGTATTTATTGCTGTGGTGAAATATGTTAAGTGGTAATCGATTTTTTAAATTGGAGGGTCCCAAGTAAATCGATCTTTGCTTACAATATTTTATATGTAGGCATATTGAAACTTGTGAACAAACAGTTTTATTGTAAGCATATTTATGTTCAAGTGCAGATGCATTTTCAATTACTTTCCGTCAGATTTTTAATTTGAATTTGAATTACATCGACTCTTTGGCAACCAAACACAAGGTTACATAGAATTCATTGGCAAGTAGTGAGTGACAAATTGGATTTGCCGGTTTAGTGGTGGACCCACGATTCATTAGCAGGAAGCCCCAACTGAGCGATGTAACCGTGTAACACTTAGGTGTAACCGGATCACCAATGGATGGGAGGAGGGGGGCTTCGACCAAACTTCAACTAAACATCATTTTAATGATTGTGACACTTCAAATTTAATAGATTTAGGTACCTGGTGAAAACTGCATCTAGGCCTATGTGTAACAATTTATTAGTACAGTTTGTCTATTGGCCTTAATTGAGATTAATGAACTAAAAAATATAGTTTGAAGGGAAAAAAATCTGTTTTAAAATGTAGGTATAGCCACTTTTAAATTTAAAATTAACGGATTTCAGTTTTTACATATCGGTTTAATGAAATATTAATAAGGTTATAAAGTACCTAATAAAAATATTACTTTTTACCTCATTATTTGTCTGAAGGAAGGTAATTTAAACGGTAGCTTTAGGCCTACTGTATAGATAGGGCCTACTTATTCAAATGCATTTTTAGAAAAATTATGTAAGCCCGTTAGGTCTATTTATTGGTTTTAACTGTACCGATAAATATTGTGTAATCGCTTGAAGTATCATCTAGAATAAGTAATATGGGAGTGCTATTAATAACATGTACATCTCTGAAAAAATCAGATATCTTGTACATTCAAATCTCAATGAATCGTCAAAAAGCACACAATCTATCTACTGAAACACAACTTATATGGGAACCTAACTCAACACCTTAATCCGATGTATACATCAAACACTACAAGAAGGAAACACAACTAATTCCAAGAGTAAATATAAAGTGCCTAAGTTGTACAAAAACCTCTCAGAAATATTGTAATAGTAAAAGGGTTGGGTGACAATCTATGTTTGGAAATACATAGACTACAGAAGGGATACAAACAATTTCTCAGCTTAAAAACACACCAACCCGATAGACCTCTAGTTGAAATAAAAATATGTCCAGTAGTAGGCTTTACTAAAAATTGTTTTATAGATTCTCTAGTGTTTTAGGTAACATATTCATTTCTACACAAGTCTTCATATGATGTCAATTTAAAAAAAAGAAAATGTAGCTATTTAACAAAAGTTGTTGATTGTAAAAATCAAAACTAAGTTTGATACCAATAAACATTACTCGTAGAGTTCAAAAAGTATTTGTTGTTGAAATCTATAGTTAATTTTAATTTCCTCAGCCAGAGGTTAAGATGTTTACAAGAGGATGTTATTTTTCAATTCCCGCCTACATAAAGTCATATAAACGTTCATATTTTGTTATCAACGAGCTGTCATAAACCTCAAGTTCAACCATCAATAATTTGATATCAATGAGCTGTCAGAAATCCCAAGTTCAATACCACTGCATACCAGTTGTTCAGCTACCAACACACAACTTGTTATCAATTCCTGACATTGTCTTCACATTCCACTACCTCTCTGGCTTAAGTCCAGATGACTCCAGAAGGCAAGGAAGCCAAGCTTTGTAAAAATGAAGATTGTAATTGCACAGTTTAATCCGTTATACAAGTACAGTAGTTGCATTTTCAAGAATAATTTTTAAGTTTTTTCTTCAAAATGGGGTGTTCCTCTTATTTATAAAAAATAAACATGATAAGATGTTGTTGATTGTTAGATTTGTTTTATTTCAAACTCGAAACGCCTAAATACTTAAATAATTTTAACAACTCAAAACAAGTAGGCCTATTTTCTTCCTCATTGCGAAAACAAAATTAAATCGGATACCGTACATAAAAAACCACCTATGAAATAAGGACATAAAATGTTGGAATAACCAAAAACATTAAACGTCTAACAAACAATCATAATACTTCAGAATTGGTCCTGTATAACATAAAGGTCAACAGTTACTATCATAGGAAGAGGAATTCCCAATGCAGTTTTTACCCTTTTCCGCCTAATAGCCGTGTGTAAAATGTCAGGGATCTGTGAATCAATAATAGTGTTAACAGGGACCTCGATATCTCAGTTCGTTTCCTACTGTAAATGTCTATAATCCATGTAGCCTACTTAGGCTATTTGCCTAAATTTATAATTCAATAGGCTAGTGAGGAAGCAATGCAGTAACAAACTGTATGATTTGCTCTCCAAGTTGTATGAAAACATTCTGTGAGTTTTCACAATGGATTTGGAGGCCATTTCAAGAGATGCTAGTCAAAGTTGGTACTTACTTCTCTCCTCTGGCCTGTGCTAGTAAAATAAAAAGTACTAGTGTACCTGTTGCTCGAAATCGGGCAATTGTCAAGTACCGGCATTATACAGAGGTTATTTTCAAACTACAGTAACAGTCATAATTTTCGATGAGTTTAAAAGTTCCGACTAAATGCTTATGTAAGTAATTGAAATACTCACGCTATTTAATAACGCTTTGAAATAATAAACGCTTCTTTTAAAACTATTTTAGTATTTTTTGGACCCGGCCTTATTTCTTAGTGTTTTCTACAAATGTTTCCCGACTTAAAGCTGCCAGTTAACATTTCTTGCATGTATTTATGTGATCTGACTTTAGGTAGGTTTACTTTACCACTGTGACAACATGATGTGTATATTCTTCATAGTTTTTTTTTTACTTCCGAGATTGTGTACCTGGATTCCTTACTGTGAGACCAGGCCTCTCTCTCCTCTACTCTTCTCATAAGTATAAGATTTCTTATTAATTGTCTCCTCCTACTGTTTTCAATATTTCTACTTTAAATTCAAGAAATCCAACATAACTGATTAACTGTTTAGATTTGTTTATAACCTCCGAAATATTACAAACGTCAATATTTACTCCCAAAAAGCTGATGAGTTTATTTTTATTATATGCAGCTGTTTTTGTTTTTAAATTTGTTTTCAATGTAATTCTCATGGGGAAAATGCGACCTTTGAGAGCGTCTCGTGCCCTTAAAGGTAAGAGATTTTTTAATTCTAAAACCTTTAGGCAAAACTACGATTTGAGACGAATTATTTGACACCTCAAACATAAAATCGGTCCAGAAATAACGGAGGAGTTTTGTTCACAAAAAACAGCCCTCATGTATTAATATAAGAGAAAATTAATCTTGATATGTAAGAGTGGCTAAATTAACGCTCACACTTTCAAACCTCATATAGTATAATTGTTTTAAATATGGGAATAAATGAGCCTACGTATTTGCTTCATAACAAAAAAGCCACAAGGTGATTATTTTTGTAGTTAAAAACCCTACATTTTCATCGGAAGATCTTGACTTAAATTTTAACAGCTTAAATAGAAGCATTAAGACGATCTAAGCCTCTAATAATCAACAAACTTTGTTTAATATTTGTTTCCCCGTCAAATGTTTTATGGCCTTTGAAAGGTGGCTATTAATACTGACATGATGTTTTGTTTGGATACAACTACCTATATAATTTGTACAAACATAAAATAAACCACTTCTTTGAACCATATTCCTGAAAAAGACTGAGTCTGGGTTATGGTTCATACCAGCATCGGCGCTATTTTGTTTATATCGCAGGTAGCGGTCAACGTTCGATCTTTGTTATTGTTGCCCAGCTGTTGAGACTAGATGCAACTGTGAGGGGAAGGGGGAACAGCTGATGAGGTCAATGTCAAACGGACACGCCCAGTTTCCCCACGGTCGCAATCCGCGAATCGCCTCACCATATTTGCACTATTGGCACCCTTCCCTTGTGACAGGTCGTCGTTGTGCCGAACATGAACGTATGTTCGTTAAAGGTTATAAATCAATTCCTAAATTAAGAATACTTTTTAATCGTGTTTATATCAAATTACGTCGCATATCTAATATCCCTCCTAGTCTGTATTTACAATCAATGTCATTTCGTATTTTACCCCAAGTAATGTGCAAGTCCAATGTAATGTAGTCAACTTAAGACGTTACCGTTTGGCTAACATTGTCGATACGATTGTCCTAGGACACAGCAAAACCTTAAATTTGGTTGAAAATCCAAGGGATTTAGCAATAGTCAAACATTCCATAAGAGTAGATTTAAAAGTAAACCTATTTAATTCAGTAAAAACACTTTTTAAATACTTTTTTTAAAATCGATTAGCATTACACTACCACAATAAAAATTACCAACCCCTACGAAGAACTGCCAAAGACGCATCTCAACATAGAATACCCGAGACAAAGACAGAAGACTTTCGAATGAATGAGTATTTTGTCAACTCCGTCAAGTGTGAGGGTTGACAATCATGAGAGGGATACAAGAGGTATTGGGGGGAAGAGGAGTGAGGGGTGGGGAGGAGGCTATTGAAGGGACTCAAGATGGTAAACGGGAGGGGAAGGAAACGTTTACACACCGAGCCTTTGACTCGGCTGTTTGACGTCTGGCTCTGGCTCTCTATCTAGTCTTTACTATGTCTCACGACGCGACGGACAAATAAAGTAAAGATTAGTAAATAATATTCGACGCCACCCGACACCCCAGGTTGCTTACTATATCGGACCTGGCACCGTCAACAGCAAAACATTTACGATATCTCTACGGAAGACGATAGTGTGAAGACTTTATAAATAAAAAAAAAACAATGCGTATTTTAACCAATGAATTTTAACCAAATGATTCCCAATTAATTATGTCAATTTATGGATTTTTCGTCCCAGCAATTTATCGCCAGGTATAGTCGATTTTAAAACTGAAAAATATAGCGTTAGAATCAAAACGACGCGTGTACCATACATGTAAACTTTGTTCTCCATTTTTTCGTAAAACGTGATAGTGTAATATTAAAGAGCCTTCTAAGCGTACATTCCCCGAACTGTCCATGTTAAACGTCGGGTTTAGTAGTATTTTATTTCCATTTCACTGCTCAATACAGCTTGAGGTTCTAGTGGTGCTTAGATGTCCAACTCAAATCCTATTGTTGTGACACTCTTTTCCTCGTATAATTCTTTGTAAAGATGCACTTTTAAGATGTTATGGAAAAACCATGTGCCCAGCAATAAAGGTCTTTCAGGACCTAATGGCAAAAATAAACTGTCTTATGTGCTTACGCCCCAGCATCTGCAGTTGCAGATGTATTTTCTCGCCAATATGTATATTCCCCTACCATTACGAACTGAGAGCAATATCTTGAAAAATGTTTCAACAGTAATAAGTTTCAAATTCCCAATTCATAACGAGGAACTGTAGACGTAGGTAGTTAGTTTATAGCAATGTGATTAAAAATCTAAAAACAGTTTTATCAAACTGATAGCTGAGTATAAACGAAATATGAGTCATTGTTTCGACTTAGCTACAAGTGAGTTTCCAAACCCACGTTATCGCCGTGATTAGGCGTTGCTTTCAACACGCCGCACCTCAGATTAGATTACAGGTCCGTGACTCCTGTTCACTAATGGGAAACCGAGTTTAAATAGGGAGTTTAGGTTGAGGCTGACTATAATTAACAATACAAAAAATACAAATTCGAGAGATTCAGTAAAAGGTGTAAACACAGTCGTGTGCGATAAAAATAAAGATTATGCATATTAACTATAGTTAATTTGACAAACTTTGTACAAGCGAGTAGACGTATTTGAAAGGTGCTTTTAAAAATCGTTTATACAACTTTAAATTGACCTAGGCAAGAATAGGTATCTTGCAGGACACCATAACGTACTTTCCGTCCAATATTTTTTTTTTTAGTACAATTTTTAAATCTCTTTCAAAATCACACGTATCCACATTCTTAACATTTTCCTTACTTGCACATTGGTACTCTTATTATTCTTACTATGTCTTCAACAGAAATGATGAAAACTGCAATCGTACAACTGAAATCGCCAAATGGCGTAATCCGATTAGACCAAAAATAGTGTGCTGTAAGTAGTGCACAATGCGCACGGCGCAAGTGGAACTTTTCCCATATCTAAACATCAGGTCAGTCACTGACAGGGCGGTTGTCAGGGTCAATTATTGTCAAGGTCACGACCGAAACACTAAACGACCATTGTCCCCAGCAAACCGTCAAATCTACACACTATCTAGACTACCAACAGACACATTGTCATGGACAAAGTAAAATAATTAATTGTTATCTCAAATAAAGATACTTTCTTTATTGTGCATGGTAGACTGAAAATCACACTTTTCAAAATACCTTACATTAATTTTAAGAATTAAGTAATAAGACCAATTTTTAAAGAAACGATGTATATAGCACGAGTTATTGAGAGAAAATAACAGATTGCTCGATATCGAATGAAAGTGACCGATTGAAGTTGTCCATTGTTACAGTATTTACCTCTTTCAGAGCGCCGCTGGGCGGGTGCAGTTCACATCTTTCTCCCTCCCTGGAAAATATCATAAAATCAATAACACAGGAATACATTGAATAAGCAATAACCACATTATTTAAGGTTAAATACTTTATACGTGTAACCTAACTACAGGGTGGCTGAAAAGTAACTTGCACCTCCCTTAACCTTTGAACCTTTTGATATATTTGCTATCGGTTTGTGGAAACCTTTTTAGATATGAAGAGCTAAAAGAATTATCGTAAATTTTGAAAATTTTGCCCTTATCAGCGGGGGTAGGGGGCAGCTCAAAACTTTCTAATAGCAAGTATAGTCGAGTTTGGTATAATTTAACAGGTCTTGACGAAACTAAACAATTTACATGAAGAAAACTCAAATCGGGCCACTTTTGCCAAGACCTGTAAAATGATACCAAACTCGACTACCTATACTTGCCATTTTAAAATTTTCAGCTACCCCCTACCCACTACTAAGAGCAAAATTTTCAAAATTAACCATCATTATTGTAGCTTTTCATTTCTAAGAAATTTGCAGCTAACCAATTTCAAATATATCAAAAGGTTCAAAGGTTAAGGGGGGGGGGGTTCAAGTTACTTTTCAGCCATCCTGCATAATATACAGAAAAATACTACTCAAACAGTAAACCGATTAACGATCACGCTACCCTAGAGACATAATAGTCAAACATAATTTGATGTGTCGTTCTTTGGCTGTGTAGTCCAATATGAGAAAATTTTGTTAATAGTGATTTTGTGTGTTAGATTTTCCCTCATTTTAGGTTTCATATGTCTGTTATGTTTCCGCATAATTTGGCACTTCAAACAGCAAATGAAAATATTATTTCATTCGAGCTTGTATGAGGAAGGAAATCGTACAGTAAACAAAAAACTACGGATTATAAAAAATTCGTGTCCGGTGTCCTTTAGTAACGCTCAATAAACTTGTTTGGACAAGAAGTTTAATAAATCAGCTCATTCTCAAGAATGAAAATAGTTTTGAAAAAGGGAGTAAGAACCAATAACACCTCTGCTAAAGATACTTAGAACAGCATCACAGAGTATAGAGTATTGGTTTACTTTATAGTCTGTGACATCATGCATTCTTTGTAACCCAGAAGTACATTAATACTGCAAAATTTGTAATGGATTATATTCAATCATTCTATAACATAATACCCCCCGCCGCAGCAAACCTGCCGTCTAAGCGAATTTCCATTTGGCTGAATTGACTTTCAATTAACACGTTCGCTACTGCAATAGTACGAAATTTTCCATTCACATGGACCAGCGACGCACATATGCGACGGCCGGTTTCCACCCATAGACTGCCGTCGCATATATGCGTCGGCTAGTCACATTAAAACAGACTGCCGACGCATATTTGCGTCGGGGTTCTAATGTTATTAAAATGCTTATATCTTTGTAGTGGTCTATTTGAAGGCACTGAATTCCCAGCAGTGGTCTACAGAGATGTCTGACGCACAACTGCGTCGCTTGGTCTGTGGATATGATGATTGGTGACGTCATATAATAGTTGGAAAAACTGGTATTTACTTCTCTGCATCACTGTATGTATTTATGCAGTATGTATGCTGCATTATCCTGTGTAGCTTTTATATTTGTTCAGTTATAAACTGTTCTTGAATAATCTGTTTATTTTTTACTTACTTTCACTTTAAAACACAAAAAATGAAGTCGCATATATGCGACGTTTGGTCTATTTTAATAAAACTATGATAATTTTCACTATTGTCTTCGCTGTAGACAGGGCGTCGCAAATATGCGACATTACAAAAGGTTATAAAAAATACAAAAAAAATAAGAATAATTTATTTACAAACACGATTGTAGCGTATTACAATGTAAATTATCACTGTTTTACAGGTTTTCGCCCGTGGTCCGTGTGTACTGTTATCCAAGTGACAGCCGGTCTATGTGTAAGATTCAAATGTATACCTCGGTCTGTGGCAATGACCGCGGCGTCGCATATATGCGACGCTCAGTATCGAACGTGTTAATTGATCTATTTAAATAACATTAGGTTTAACAAGTACCTAGGTTTGCTGCTACAAGGAAACTAATAAAGTGTGTTTTAGTAAAATATTGATAGCTTACTATAAAATAAATAAATTTGCCAAGTTTGATCAAAATATATCAATAAACAAGCAAAGTACAACATTTTTCTCCATAAGAATAACATGGGAATTTTAAATTTACCATTTTTTTAGTTTTCTCCGTAACCAATAACCGTACAAAAACACTTTGATATACTGAATTGTTTGTTTTTTAAGCTCTTTAAGAAGGTTTAGAGAAAAATTGGGAAATTTTGTGTTTTGAGGGTCAAAAGTGAGAAAAACCAATTTTTACCCCATAAAACCCTGTTCCCATGGTCCGATCATGCTGGATCGCGAACTCATTCAAGTTTATCTCGCCTTACACCTTCAAACCAAATTTAATCAAAATCGGATAAAAATTACTCAAGTTATCGTGTTCACGGACATATATATATATATATATATATAAATCTATATATATATATATACATATATAAAAATTTGAACGAATGGTGTTTTTGGCCTCTGGGGACATCAAAATGCAAAAGTAAATCGGTCCCGGGCCTAAGTCTTACCATGAGACCTACGGTAATAGCTACTTCCCTATAGGGAAATTCGCTAAAAGCAGTAGGCCTATGTTTTATCTAGGTATAGGCCTAATAAAGTCGTATATTCTTTTTCTGTACGTCATAATAAATTTAATTCGCTTCAATCTTTCATCATTGGCATACAATATACAGTCTGTAAGGTTGCCAAACAAATGATGCATTGTGAATTTCTCTATATGGTTTTGTCCTACAATTTGGTCGAATAGAATCGATAAAACCGGGAAAGAAACACTTTTATAACCGTCAATGGCGAAAAGTTTGTTTACTTGTGTATTCACAAGCTCTCATACAGAAATTTAACTCCTCTAGTTGCACGTGAGTTTACAAATCAGCCAGTCAGACAAATTAACGAAACATTAAATGGTTACCAAATCCATTTAAAACATTAGGAGACGAAATGAGTAAACGACAAAGACCCGTGGATACAGCTCTGAGAGCGTGGGGTGCGTAGCACGCACATTTCATCCCTTTCCACCCCTTCCCGCCCCCTCCTGCAAACATCTCTACAGCTCTCTGTGAAGCAAGCACCAGAAAGCGTTGGCTTTACTCATCTGCATGCATGACATGTAAATAATGCACCTGTCCGTTTTACAGCTCGGCCAATCCGTTTCCGACTCCAAGTTTACCCTTTTTAACCCCTTCCATACACTTTTGTCACACAGATGCAGGGTGCGTAAGGTTACTTTTCCTAGGGCGTGGTTGCCACCCCACATTTCTATCTCATCCCCATTACGTTGTCAGCTTTAAATTCCCCAGAGTAACCTTTTTATTAAAATTGCGATTTTGCGAATGTTTCGATTAGATGGAGAAACATTTATAAAGGCACTATAATATTACAAAAAAGTTGAACATAAGTTAAACCATTCTTAACAAAAACATTACGTGATTACCGATCGATTCTCATCTGTAAATGATGCAAACAGAAAGTGGCTGACGGAAATTAGAATCCCGGGGATCATTTTGATAGAAACCTCACGGTGAAAGGAAATGCGATGAAAGTTGGAAGATGTAATATCGGATTCTGAGCCGCTATTATGTTGAGACGAAAACAACAATACTTCCAACCATACATGTTGGTACTAAGTTGCTCTCTTTGCCGAACTGTGTGCAATTTTCTGTAGCTGTCTCAAAAATGTTACAAAACGCATTTTAAAACGTTCGATGATTTTAACGTCCTTTACAATACCAAATAATCATTTACTGTAGGTACCTTAATTACATTTTTATCCGAAATAAAAAAATGAAAAATTACATCGTTCAACTAAAATTTGATTAAATGATCAAATTCTTCCAATATAATATAAAATAACTTAATCGCACTATTATAGCAATTAAAATTGGCATAGCACTTAACAATACAGTAGTCTTTTGGATCGTCTGTTGTTTGGCATAGCATAGCCTATATTAAAAGTACAGTACCGGTATATACTTTTCTTAGTTACATATTTAATTCTACAAGGAAATTATGTTAGATTTAGTTAATGAATTGACGATGAACAAGATAGAAACTTTTAACTAGAACAATTATAAAACAGAAACCCCAGTATTTGTTCCATTTTATAAGGATACAGTACCTAAATTTCCAAACACTGTACACTAGATTCTCATTTATTTTTATCGAGGAAATTAAACCGTCGTGTTTGCTTGTTTATGGATGCATGTTGATAAAATTTGGCAAATTTATTTATTTAATCATACACTATTAACATTGGGTGAACACAAACACTTAAATCTAAAATCGCACTCGTTAAATCGAATGCTATTCAAATGAGGAATAATGTCTTGTTTTTGGAAATATTTTAGTAAAATTCCAATCAGAAAAAAATGAAATTCGCCTAGTCTGCAGGTTTGCTGTGGCAGGGGTATTTTGTATAAAAGGATCTAGAGCAGTAATATGAGAATTAACTGTGATTACGGCAAATGAAGCCAAATCTGTCCTCGTACACGAAAACATAAATTTGGAACAGAATCAGAGAAGGGCAGAGCAAAAACAAATCATCAACTCGGTGATCGTGTACTGAAGTAGTGAAGTGGTCCGGTGAATGAGGTGCGGGCGTGCGCGTGTGGGAGTGGACACAATTAGCGACCCCCCTGTCACCCCCCCCCCCCCTACAACAGCATTATCAAGGGAGTTATGACTCCAAGATGAATATAAGACACGTCCCCGACGATCTGACCTCATCACTTGGACGTGTGAACGGGAAATGTCACTTGTGATGCCCAGCCATGACCCAGCCACAAACGACAACGTAAACCAGCCATGTGTAAACGAATTTTAGTTTTTAACAACGAACTTACGAATAAATTTTGAAGCATAATGAAATATTCCACTATAATGGGACTACAAAATGGCAAGTCGTCAGCATCATATCGAT